CCCCCCCCCCCACCCCCCGCAGGAACACACACAGCCCCAGTCCCGTCCAGTCGGGGTTGGAGTTTATTTCTGCCAGAGCCTGGAGGCTGGGAGGGTCTGGGGGCCTCCTCCAGCCCCCGGGGGCGACTCCAACGACGTGTGATCGATCACACAGGAGCAACCAGAAGGGGGAGCGGGGCCTGGGGGGAGGGGGGAGGGCCCCTCATCCCGCCCCTCTGCGAGGGTCTGGCGCTGGCGGAGGCCAGGGCTCAGGCTGCTGTCGCTCAGCAGTCGGGTGGCTGAATGGTGAGAGACATCCGCAGAGGGAGGGGGAGGGGGAGACGGGGCAGAGGAAGCGGGAGGGGGGAGGGGGACGAGGTGGGGGAGGGGAGCCATTCTCCCTTCCTAATAAAGATCATTAACAACTGAAGGAAGGATGGGAACCCGGATGAAACCGCAGCTTGCCAACGACACCCCAAATTCCTCCCAAGCGAGGGAGCCCCAGTCCTTCCCTCCCCGCTGGCCCGCTCCTCTGTGATTAGGGGTCCACGGGAGGTCTCGGGGAACACCCCCCCCCCCCCGGAGTGGGCTTGATAAGTGCTGGAGCGCTGGAGGGTGGCACCCTTTCCAAAGGGCGGGAAGCCAGGGGGCGAGCTCTGGGGCGGGCACCGCGGGGAGCGGGGAGGGAGGGGCCGGCGCCCGGGGGCAGCGCGCGGTCACTGAGGCTGGGCCGCAGGCGGTCTGTCGGGCTCCTGGGGCGGCCCGGCCCCCGGCTCCGCGTCCTGCGCCTCCTCGTCCGACGCCACGCCCTCCTCCAGCCGGAAGACCTGGCGCACCGTGCGGGTGGTGAAGGTGAGGGGCGCGCGTCTGCGGGGAGGAGAGACCGGAGGTGCTGGTTAAACGAGGGGAGCAGAGAGGGAGGGGAGAGGGAGCTATGGAGAGAGAGAGAGAAGAAAGTGGGGGGGGGGGCGGGGTCGATGGAGGGGGAGAGCGCAAGTGCGGGGTGGCCCTACCGCAGCCGGTTCCTCAGGGTGTTCAACTCGCGGTTCATGGACTCCGAGGCCTCCGTGACATCCTCCAGCTCGTGCTGCAGCCTCCGGCGGACCGTCTGCGCCCGCGACGCCTCCTCCTCCGCCTCCTCCAGCTGCCGCTTCAGCTGCTTCACCCGAAGGTTCCCCTTCTCCACCTTGGCGCGAGCAGGGGGCCCCGGTCACGCCTCCGGGCGCAGTCCTCACCCCCGACACCCCACCCCGGCCCCCACGGCCCCACCCCTCCTGCCCCTGACTCCGCCCCATTTCCCTGCCTTCCGTCCACGCTTGGTTCCGTTCTCCTGCATCCTCTCGCCAGCATCCAGTCTGGCCTCAAATGTGAGGCTGTCTCTCGTTTGGCCTCAGAGGGGTCTTTCTATGCTCTTTCTATGTCTTTCCCCTGCTCAAAGCCCTCCCGTGGCTACTCAGTGCCCCTAGGACAAGGTCCCAGCCCCTCAGCCTGGCATTCCAGGCTCTGCAGGGTCGTCTTCCCATAAAACCACTGGCAAGACCATCTTCACCGAGATCCTCACAGACCCTGCCATCTCTCTTTCGAGGGAGGGGACACACGCCATCTTCCTCCCACCAAACACTCTGACCTCATTTCTTATCACTCACCCCCCTCCTCCCACCCCATTCTTCTCTCTAGCCAAACCGGTCTGCTTTTTGCTCCAAACTCAACAAGCTTATTTCCATACCCCAGGGCCTTTGCACCTGCTGTTCCCTCTGCCTGGCTCTTCCTCACCCTTCAGGTCTCAATTCAAGTGTCACCTCCTTAGAGAGGTCTTCGTGCCCCCCCTACCCCCATCCTCTCTCTTCATTCTCTTTTTTCTTCATAGTTCTTGTCCCAATCTGTAGTTATCTTTGCTTGTTTGTAGGATTATTGTGCCTTTCTCTTCCTATGCTGAAAATGGGAGTTCTGTGAGAGCAGGGACCTTCTCTGTCTTGTTCACAGCCATATCTCCGATGCCTAGCACAGTGCCTGGCACACAGTGGGTGCTCAATAATTGTGGAATGAATGGCAAATAAAACACAGCTGAGCTTTTAAGGGCACAGTGACTCTATCTAGATTCAGACAGACCTGAGATCCGATCCAGGCTCTGTCTCTACTAACTGTGTGCCTTTGGTGCACAGTTTTAAAGTTCCCATTTCCTCACTTGTGAAATGGGGCTGGTGAGAGAATGCACACGTGTGGTTTCTAAAAAGCAGGTTAGCACAGTACTGGGGACACAGTAGCTGCTCAATAAATAAAAGCACAAACTCTGCAGCTGAGTGCCAGGGTTTGGACCCTGGCTCCATCTCTTAAGTGCTACATAGTTTCACCTTTCTGTGCCTCAGTTTACCCACCTGAATACGAGGGGAAAATAACAGTACTGACCTCGGCATTCTGATAAGAATTAAAAATACTGCACGTTATGTTCTTAGCACAGTTCCTAGCACATACAAAGCACTCAGTAAACACTCTGTGTTGTTATTTCAGCCCTGGGCTAGCTTCTGGGTAGGGTTTAACGTCTTCCCTCTCCCCGCTGTGTCAGTTCCCCACCAGGGCCTTTCTTAGACTCCAGAATTTACCGGTCACAAGGTCACCAATTCCAGCTCTCAGCGGATGCGCCCAGCCCAGGGGAGGCATCTACACTCATTTCCACTCCAGCGCCCACACGCTGCCTCTTATGATGGGAGCTCCTCGCCTCCAGAAGTGGCACGTGCTGTTTATGAGTCGGCCGTCCCACCTCCCACTGCTCCTCAGTGACATCGGCCGCTCACCTGATCCCGGAGCTGGTCGGCTGCCCTCCGCTCCTCCTCCACCTGGAGCACCACCTCTTTAAGCCTCTTCTCGGCCCTGCGCACCAGCTTGCCCGAGAGGATGCGCTCCCTGGAGAGAGGCATGAAGGGGAGGACCGGGAGAGGTTCTCACGGGGTTCTCTCCCCACCCGCCCCGGCCCTCATCCACTGGCCGCTGTCCTGTTCTTGGAGCGGCCTCTTCTCTCTTTCTCACCCCCGACTGGCTCCCACAGTCTGCTCAGGCCAGACGCTGGCACCCAGGCTCCCCACTCCAGGGCATCTTGTCCTTGGCTTCCACCAAGATGCCTGATGTTCTTAAAAGTGTCTCCATGTCTACAGCAGTTTTCCAGGTCCCACTAGGTCTGTCACACCAACTGCATTTCCTCCCCAGTCTCCTTCCTCTCAGGGAACTGACCCACTGACTACTAGTGCCCAGGTCAAACCACTGGGACTGTCCTCTCTCCTCTCTCCTTTGCCCCCCCCCCCCCCCCCCCAGTGCCCAAACCCTGTCCCATTGCCCCCTGAACTCTGTCCTGTCCCCTGCCACCCCCGTCTTCACAGCGCCAGCCCCCAGCTCAGGCCTCATCCTCTCCCACCTGACCATCGCCCCTCCTGGCCTGTCCTTTCTCTCTCAGCTTCCTTCTCTGGCTGTCTCTGTTCATGGAACTCTCTAGAAACCCAAAGCTCCATCCTCAACCACCTTTGCCGTCTTCCCCCCTCTCACTCACATGCTTTCCCTGGACAAGCTCCTCTGTGCCCCAGGTTCCCACGACCGTCAACAGCCTGGTGTCTGCTAAACCTGTGTCCCGAGCTCCAGCCTGGTTCAGCCCCCGCCTCAGCCGTCCACCAGACCCCGCACACCCCTCACGTTCCCCGCTGGGCTCAGCACCTTCTCCCTAGCCTGCTCCTCGCCTTGCTTCCCCATGATCCACCTAGATCTGTAGGTCAGACTCCCGGCCGTCCTCACCTCCCCTCTCCCCTCAAATCCTTTCCCCACTGTCTCCTGAATTTCCCCATCCCTGTGGCCCCTGCTCCTCGGTCCTCTCCTGCATGGACCCTCCCACCCGGGGTGAAGTCCATGGGATGGGGCCCCTAGCGACGGGCAGTGCTCAGCAGCCAGCACTGGACAAGGCCGCCCCAGATGTGCTGAGAGGCGGGCCCAGGGCTGGGGGAGGTGGGAGGCACCGAGCCGTGGAAAGGGATGCAGGGGACAGACTCCTTCAGCTGTGGGTCCGCTGGCCACTCCCTGCCCCCAGGGTGACTTTGAGCAGGTCGTTAACACCCTCTGAGCCTCAGTCTCCTCATCTGTATAATGGGGGAGGAGGGAACTCAGACCTGTGTGCCCATCAGCCTCCGGAAGCCCTCCCCAGGGACCTCGAACTACATTTCCCATGAGCCTCTGCGCCCTGGCCAGCCCCCTGGACCAGAAGCACTTCTCCCATGAGCCTCTGGAAGCCTTCCTCAGAGACCTTGAACTACATTTCTCATGAGCCCCTGGGCTCTGGCCAGCCCCCTGGACCAGAACCACTTCTCCCGGGAGCCCCTGGGCCCTGGCCAGACCCCCTGGACCAGAACCACTTCTCCCGGGAGCCCCTGGGCCCTGGCCAGACCCCTGGACCAGAACCACTTCTCCCGGGAGCCCCTGGGCCCTGGCCAGGCCCCCTGGACCAGAATCACTTCTCCCGGGAGCCCCTGGGCCCTGGCCAGCCCCCCTGGACCAGAATCACTTCTCCCGGGAGCCCCTGGGCCCTGGCCAGCCCCCTGGACCAGAACCATTTCTCCCATGAGCCTCTGGGCCCTGGCCAGCCCCCTGGACCAGACCCACTTCTCCCATGAGCCTCTGGGACCAGTTCCTCTGCGCGTCCCTGAGACCTCTCACTTTTCTCATGCTCCCGGACGAATTCCACATCTTCCCCCAACCCCAAGATTCCCCCAGTCACCAGGCCTTACCCCAAACACTGTCCTCTTCCCCCTACACCCTGACAGCCCATTGAACCCCAGCTCCATCCCTTCTGGTCCAGCCTCCTCCTGGCCTCTCAGCTCCCAGTCTTGCTCCCCGGTCTGTTCCCAGCTTGGCCCCCGAGGGGTCTTACCACACCCAGCGCTGGCCCTGCGCCTCCCCAGCCCGCAGGTCCCCGGGCTCCCCATCACCCCAGGACAGCATTCGAGGCTCTTGCCTCCCTCCTCCCTCTCCTGAGTCGCAGACTCCTAGGGCCAGTCACCCCCCTCCAGATGCCCCGAGGTCTCCCGTACGATCCCCCGAGGCTCTGCCCCGGACTCTGTGCCCTGGCAATCTCCTCAGCTCAAATGCCTCCTCCTTCAGGAAGCCCTCCCAAACCACCCCATCCCAGGCCAACCCAGCTTCTCCTTCAACTGTGTCCCCCCAGCTCTCCCAGTTTACAGGGCCCCCCCCTTTGTCACTGTGTCTGGCTCATGAGTCTTTCTCCTCATGGGGTCAGACTGAAAGGAGGGATGTGCAGAGACTCAGCAATAAAGGTAACCCCTGAGTCTAGCCTAGGTGGGGGATCCCCCTAGACCGTGACCTCCATGGGGGCAGGGCCTGGGTGTGTCTCATTCTTCTTCATTTCCCCAGTGCCCAGGCATGGGAGGGTAAGCAGGGCACTCTTAATACATGTTTGTTGAATGAATAAATGCAAAAGGGAACCGTATATACCTTTTGGTATAAAACAACACTCTTCTCCACCAGAGGGTGGTAGAGACACTGAATTATGGGTCGGGCATCCTAGATTTATAGCCCTTCTTTGCCTAAGCTTTCCTGTGTATAAAATAGGGATACAATGGTCCTTCTCTCACAAGGGTTATGTGATATCATACATGTATATACAGGCAGTCCAGCACCAGACATATAGTAAGATCTCAGTAAGTGGGAACTGTTATTATTGTTACTGAAGAGTACTGAGCAGTAGGAAAATCTATTGTATTGGGAGAGTGACACTTTCACTAGGCTTAGTAGTAAATTTTCTGTTAGTTTTATTAGCATAGTGGTTCTTTTTATTTTTTGAGGAAGATTAGCCCTGAGCTAACATCTGCTGCCAATCCTCCTCTTTTTGCTGAAGAAGACTGGCCCTGAGCTAACATCCATGCCCATCTTCCTCTACTTTATATGTGGGGCGCCTACCACAGCATGGCTTGCCAAGTGGTGCCATGTCTGCACCCGGGATCCAAACCAGTGAACCCCAGGCCACCTAAGCGGAACGTGCACACTTAACCGCGGCACCACCAGGCCGGCCCCAGCATAGTGGGAATGTTGAGGGGTATTCTTGGTTGTTCCAGAGACTGGAGATGGAAACTATCTCAGACCCACACTTCAGCTGCTTCCTGGCTTTGAACATGGATGTAGGGTGTGATGTTTGGCACAAGTGCAGCCATTTTATGACCAGGAGGGAAAGATCAAGCTAACTACACAGAGGCTGACTCAGAACACGGCCATCTTTCAGCTGCCCAGCTCCAGACTTATCATGTGAAAAAAAGAAATGTATGATAGACTGATGACAGAAATGGCCTCAATTCTCACTCCTTCCTGTATCCACACCCTTTGCAATATGACTTTGCAGCTGCTCCCATCGAGAGGTAGAAACTATTTCTCCATTCCCTTAAATCTGACCTGGCCACGTCACTTGCTTTAGCAACAGGAGGAAGCAGAAATGACACTGTGTCAGTTCCAAGGCTAGGCCCCAAGAAGCCTTTAACACTTTCCCTCACCCTGGGAACCTTGACTCCGCCACGTGAACAATCCTGGGCCAGCCTGGAGCAGTGACAAGCTAGCCAAGTTGTCCCAGGCAAGGCCTTAGACACACGAGAGCCCAGCCAAGATCAGCAGATCCATCTAGAGGATGCTCCGCTGAGCAAAGATGCGTGAGCGAGGCCCACCAAGCACAGATCAGCAGAGCCCACCGGCCAGCCCCAGAGCAAGGATAAGCGGCTGTGGTTTTAAGCCACTGAATTGTCAGGTGGCTTGTTACGTGGCCGTAACTGGTTTGTTATGTGGCCGTAACCAACTGCTACACGACTGTTTAATTCACACTCTTAGCGGGAGCGCAGTTACTTGCAGCCTAAAGCATCTTAAATGATACAGGAAATCAGCCGCCGTTAACACTTGGATGCCTTTTGGATGCCAGGAACCCGGCTCCCCTTCATCTCACTGACCAGAACCCGGGGGGCTGCCCTCCGGCCGCGCCCTCCCCTCCCACTCACCTGCTCTCCTGCTCCAGCTGCTCCTCAGCCTGGGCCAGCTTAGACTCAAGGGCGGCGATGACCATCTTCTGGCGGGCCCGGGCCCCAGCGTCCTCCTCACCCAGGCGCGCCCGGAGCTCCTGGATCTGCCGCTCCAGCTGCTGCCGCCCGCTCTCGGCCTTGGCTGAGAAACTGCGCTCAGCTGACAACTCTGTGGTCAGCGATTCCACCTGTGGCAGTGGGAAAAGCAGGACCGTCACAGCGGAGTCTCCGAGGGAAGATGGCAGGTAAAGCCAGGCTCCTCTCAGAATTAAGTGAGTCAATGATTGTGGGGTTTTTTTTTTTGTGCTGAGGAAGATTGGCCCTGAGGTAACATCTGTTGCCAATCTTCCTCTTTTTGCTTGAGGAAGACTGTCACTGAGCTAACATCTCTGCCCATCTTCCTCTATTTTATGTGGGATGCCACCACAGCATGGCTTGATGAGCAGTGCTAGGTCCACACCGGGATCTGAACCTGTGAACCCCAGGCTACTGAAGCAGAGCACACGACCTTAACCACTACACCACTGGGCCAGCCCCTAAGTGAGTCAATGATTGTTAAGTGCATAGCACAGAGCCTGATACATACTAAAAACTCAAGAAATATAAACGTGTATTTCTCCTGATTGGCTTATCAGCCAACAGCAGTGCCAGCCCTGGGTTTTAACCTTTTGGACAAGTTTTCACTATTTTAATAAGTCCACAAGACGATCACAGACTTCTTCAGATGCTCTAAATTCTACCGCTGACTGTGAATGAGTCTATTCCAAGGGTTATCACACTTCTGGCGGCACCAGGATCATCTGGGGAGCTTGTGAAAAAATGCGGACCACAGGGTCCCCACCCCCCCGAGATTCTGATTCATCAGATCTGGAGCGGGGTCCGTGAATGCGAATTTTAAACCAGCATCTCAGGTGGATCCGATACGAGTCCTATGCTGGATTGTTTTGAGAAATGCCCACTCAACAAACAGGAGCTACTACGTGGAGGATGTGTAGACACACCCCTAATAATAGTTGCTGTTTATTTATTCAGCTCCTACTCCGAGCGAGGTCCCGTGTTGGGGACACGGAAATGAGTCAGATCCAGTCTGATTCATCCTTTATTTCATTTCACACTCACAGGAACACAGCGACGTGGTGATTAGCATATGCTTTTTTTCTTTTTTTTTTTTTAACTTTTTATTGGGAAAATGAAAATGTGATTAAAAAGTCAAAAAGTGATCAAATATATGGCTTAATGCGTTAATAAAAGGCAAACACCCCTGTTACCCCCTCCCCCGAGCCAGGTCAAGAAATAGAACTTTGTTGGGGCTGGCCCCATGGCTGAGTGGTTAAGTTCGTGCACCCTGCTTCGGCAGCCCAGGGTTTGCCGGTTCGGATCCTGGGTGCAGAAACTAGTACCACTCGTCAAGCCATGCTGTGGTAGGAGTCCCACTTACAAAATAGAGGAAGATGGGCACGGATGTGAGCTCAGGGCCAGTCTTCCTCAAGCAAAAAGAGGAAGATTGGCAACAGATGTTAGCTCAAGGCCAATCTTCCTCACCAAAAAAAAAAAAAGTGCATACCTTAAATATCATTGTGAACTCAAGGATTTAAACAGATTTGATGAATTTAAAGCAATTGTGATTATCATCCTTGTCAAAGCTCAAATTGCTCCATTTGGGGCCACTGGGAGCCTCTCCAAGTTGACTACTAAGTGCTTCTGACGCAACCACACCAGCTTCCTCAATAACTGGGATGTCACGGACTGAATGTTTTGTGTCCCCCACCCCAGATTCACATATTGAAGCCCGAACGCCAGTGCAACGGTATCTGGAGATGGGGCCTTTGGGAGGGAGCTGACGTTAGATGAGGTCACGAGGGTGGGGCCCCCAGGATGGCGTCAGTGTCCTTATAAGGAGACACCAGAGAGCTCGCTCACTCTCTCTCCCCCCACAGGCACACACAGAGAGATGGCAGCCGTCTGTGAGCCAAGAGAAGAGGCATCGGAATGAAGCCCACCTCACTGGCCTTGATCCCGGCCTTCCCTGCCTCCAGAGCAAGTTTCTGTCCGGCCTGCGGCATTGCGTGGTGGCAGCCTGAGCAGGCCGAGGCGCCGTGGGACAGGATGCTCTCGTTCATTTCCCGCTTGGGATCAGGAGGCAGCCGTATCTAGGAAGCCCCAGTTCCCATTAGTGGGAAACGCTATTTCTGGACTATTTGGGGACCAGCGATGCTCACTGCTGCTGGATGGGTCACAGTTTCTAGGCGTTTTGGGTGGAGAGAGAGGCCGGATCTGCATAAAATCTCTCATAGGTTCGTGTGAATATGTCCAAGTTGAATTCAGGACCACAGGGCTTTTGTGTTTTGTTTTTAACTCAGCCTCTTCTCTCTGAAATCTGTATCTAGGTTCGTTCGTTCCTTTCTTCCTTCCTTCCTTCCTTCTTTCTTTCTTTTTGTTGGTGAGGAAGATTGGCCCTGAGCTAACATCTGCTGCCAATCTTCCTCTTTTCAAAAAAACTTTTCTCCCACAACTAAAAAATGTACAGCTATATACTGGGGGGATTTGGGGAGAAAAAAGCAGGAAAAAAACAAAAGAAAAGATTGGCAACAGTTGTTAGCTCAGGTGCTAATCTGTAAAAAACAGAACATTTTTCTCCCCAAAGCCCCAGTGCATAGTTGTGTGTCCTAGTTGCAAGTCCTTCTAGTTCTTCTATGTGAGATGCAGCCACAGCATGGCTTGATGAGCGGTGTGTAGGTCCACACCCAGGATCTGAACCGGCGAACCCCGGGCCACCGAAGCAGAGCGCACGGACTTAACCACTCGGCCACCAGGCCAGCCCAGTCCCGCAGTCCTTGCATGCTGACAACCCATTGATGGCCTTTACACTTGAAAGTAAGTCTCACTTTTCTCAATAAATCCTCATCTCACGTTTTCTTTCTTTGACTATCTTAAACATATTCCTCCATTTTCTTCCAGCACAAAGTCTTGCTGTCCGAAAAAAAATCTGATGACAATCTATTTTTCTTTTTCTTTATATACCGCTTCCTCATTTTTTTTTTCTGGATGGCCAAAGGATTTTTGTTTTTCCTTTTGAAAGTCCAAAATTTTTACTAGACTCTGTCTTGGTGTCAGTTCTCATGGCTCAGTATCCTCAGGTACGCAGTGTGCTCTTCCACGTGTAGCTTCAAACTCTTTTGTTTCAGGAACGTTCTCTTGCATTACGGCTCTGACCTTTGCTCTGTTCCCTTTCTTTGGTTTTCTTCTTCAGGGACTCCTATTATCCATATGCTGGATCTTCTTTGCCTGCCTTCAATATTTGCCATTTTCTTGTGAATCTCTTTTTGTGTCTTTTTTGTGTGTGTGTGATGAGGAAGATTGGCCCTGAGCTAACATCTGTTGACAATCTTCCTCTTTTTTATTTTCTCCCCAAAGCCCCAGCACATAGTTGTATATCTTAGCTGTAAGTCCTTCTATTTCTTCTATGTGGGACGCCTCCACAGCATGGCTTGATGAGCGGTGCCATGTCCACACCTGGGATCCAAACCAGCAAACCCCAAAGGCCACCAAAGCGGAACATGTGAACTTAAGCACTATGTGACTGGGCCAGCCTCTTTTAGTGCTTTTTTAAAATTTCATTTTGATTTTTAAAAAGATTCTCCCTTTCACCACCAGCCAAGGACACAAGTCAGGTGGAGTCCCATCATTCTTTATACGACTGTCATGTCCTGTGCTCCCTCCATCAGAGCCTTTATTGGAGTATTCACTTAACTTGTGATGAGCCCCCAGCCCTGTTTTAGATCCTGGGGAGAGAGCAGTGAGTGAAACGAACACAGAGCCCCTTCTCTTAAGATGGTGCTTACATTCTGCTGGGGAGATGGGCATCAGACAAACCAGTAAACACATAAAGTAATGCCAGGTAGTGGTCAATGATATGGAGGAGAATAATGCAGAGAGGATGGGAAGAAATTATGGGAGGGAGGGTGGCTTTCACCCAGGGTGGCAAGGAAAGCTGTTTTGAGGGAGTGAGACATGTGATCATGAGATGGTTGGGAGAAGAGCCTTCCAGGAGGAGGGAATGGCAAGTGCAAAGGCCCTGAGGTGGGAATAAATGTGGCATCGTCAGGGAAGAGCAAGGAGGCTGGTGCGGCTGGAGCAGAGTGAGCTGGGGGGGAAGGGTCGGAGAAAAGGTCTGAGTTAGCCTGCGACTAGAGTGTGGGGCCTTGTGGGGGTTTGCGATTTCACTCTGAGTGGGGTGGCAGCTGTATCATCCTGGAGTATGACTGCCTGTCCCACTGGCCTAGGGGCTCCCTAAGGGTTGAACTGGGGTCTTTCTCCTCTCCGAGTCCCCAGCAGCGCCAGGACCTGGCCCATGAGAAGCCTCAAGATGCGTCTTTAAAAATTAACGAAATAATGAAGATATAGGTCCCTCTTTGGAAATCCCATCCCTCTGCTGTCTGCCTGGCAAACTCCTACCTTCCTACAAGACCTGGAAAGGCCTCACCTCCACCAGGAAGTCTTTCCTGATAGCCCTCAGCCTCCAGGCTGGGTGAGCCCCTTCTAGGTTCTCACAGCGTGTTGTGCTTCCTCCATTCTCATTTGTATTTCTGTATTGGGATAGTCTGTCTCCTCCATCAGACTAGGGTGTCCTTAAGGACAGAGACCTGGAGTGATCCATCTCCAGTCCCCAGCATCACCCAGAATAGGATCTGGGCCTCCAGAAGCCTCAGGAAATATTTAGAAATAAATATACAAATGAAAATATGGTTTTCGCCATCTCCCAAGCTCCTATTTATACCTGAAAACCCAAGCCAAATGTCCCTTCTTTCAAATGCCTTCTTGTGACTCCTACGGACTCTTCTCTTTTTCTCTCTCTGCCTGTCTACTGGGCCCAGGTACCTCTGTTATCACATATGCCACCCTATAATGTGACAGTGTAGTTCCATGTCTATTTTCCCAGGAAACTGCAGGACAGAGACCCCACAGACTTCATCTCTGGATCCAGCTCTTGAGAAGCCTCAGAAATACAAGCGAATGAATGAATCAATGCCTCTCCCACTGGAGGACTCCTATTCAACCTTCAAAACCCAACTGAAAAAGTCCCTTTTCCTATGTCTGTTGAATAAAAGGATGGAAGGTTATGGTCCCAGGTCAGTGAGGACCCGGGCTGGCAGAGGGAGACCCGGTCATGCTCACCTGCAGGAGCAGCTTGCGGTAGCGGTCATTGAGCAGCTCTGCGTTGCTCTGCTCCTCCTCCAGCTCCTCTTCCATCTTCCCCAGGCGCACCTCCAGCTGACGCTTCTCCTCCAGAATGGCCGCCCTAGAGAGAGCGGGAACAGGAGGAGGTGAGAGGGCCGGATGGCCAGAGGAGGGCATCCGGCCCCACGTTACCAGGGGCCACTCACTTGCCAAGGCTGCCATTGGCCACCTCATCTGCCATCTCATCCCGCTCTTGCTGGGCCTGACGCCTGGCGCGGTCTGAGGCGGCCAGTTCCTGCGGTGACAGAGAGAGGGGGTGGTCAGCAGTGGTGACCGGCCTGCCTGCCCCTCACACAAGTCTCTTGGCCTGTTTTTCACGGCACGTGAACAGGGCATCCCTGGGTGACTTTGCGATGAACTTCAGTCTACAGGCAGGTGCCCCCTAAACCCGTCTCCCAAGCCCCCAACCGTGTTCACCTCTTCCTGCCCACGCCACAGGTCCCGCACCTTCGTCACCTCCTCCCTGAGCCCAGAGGCTCCCGTCAAACCTGCTCCTCCTCCAGGTTTCTCCAGTCGCAGGCCAGACCCCAGGTCTCTCCTCACCTCCTGCACCCCCTCACCACCCACAGCCTGTCCGTCCGGCCTCTTTACTTTCGGCCTTGGTTCCCCTCTGCATTCCCATAGCCCCGCCTCCCGCAGCCTCCTCTCTCCCCAGCCTCCTTGCCTCGCGTCTTCCCCCTCAGTCCATCCCCCACACGGACCCTGCCTCTCCCCAGCTCAGAACCCACCAAGGGCTCCCCAGTGCTCCTAGGCTGTCGTGTGTGGTTGGTCCCATCCGTCCCCATCCCCACCCCCGGCCTCCCATCCAAGCGCCCCGCCCACCCACACTCCTAGCCTCCCATCCCAGGGCCCCACCCACTTCCACCCCCAGCCTCCCATCCCAGGGCCCCGCCCACTTCCACCCCAGCCTCCACTCCCAGGGCCCCGCCCACTTCCACCCCCAGCCTCCTGTCCCAGGGCCCCGCGCATCCTGGCTTCACCTCCTGTAGCCGCAGCACTTCTGCCTCCAGCCCCTTGAGGCGCTTGTCACTCTCCCGGTTCTGGGCAAAGATCTCCTCCCGGGAGGTGCGCGACTCCTCCACCTCCCGCCACAGTTCCTTCATCTGGGCCTGGGCGGAATGAAGCGAGCAAGCGGGCTCAGCCTGGTCGTGACTCACGGGGAAGCCCCTACCCTCGCATCAGCCCTGAGGGGGCGCCCCGTGAGCAAGCACAGTCCTGCGCGCTGCCGCACCCCGCCCGCCTCCAGCCGCTTGCTGTGTGACCTTGGGCCAGACCCTCCCCCTCTCTGGGCCTCAGCCGCCTCCTCTTTAAAAAGGAAACACCTTAAAATTAAAGTAAGCCTAAAATGGGTATAATATTCGGACTCAACCCTGCAGTCATAATAAAGATGGTTGGCAACCGCTTACGGACTCCCTGAATGCCCACAACTCCAGTTGGTGGGGAGTGTTTTCCTCCCCAGTTTACAGCGGGAGAAACTGAGGCACAGAGAGGTTCAGCAACCTGCCCAAGGCGGTAAGTAGCAGAGGCAAGATTTGAACCCAGACCATCTGGCCCCAAAGGTTTCTACTTCTAGCCACTTTGCTACCAGGCCACACTACTTCCGAGCATGTGTAAAGATGCCCGTATACGGGTTTTCTCCTCGACGGTGTTTAAAATAACGAAAAATAAAACACAAACTAAATAGCCACCACCATTACAAAAAAAACCCGACTCTGTATCTTTACAGTGGACTAGTGTGTAGCTGTTAATGACCATTTTGACGGCAGCAGCTGGCTTGGTGGCGGCAGGACGGACATCATCACTGTTATTAATCTTATTATTATTTGCTTGATAATAATAGCTTCTCAGGGTAGAGGTTTCCTCTCAGTAGTGACATGGTTGGCAATTATAACCTTCTGGGACGGGTCTTTCTGTACCAATGCTGCGCCACAGAAATATATTGCAAGGATTGGGGTTGTTTTCCATTTTCTAGTAGCCGCATTAAAACGGTAAAAAGACACAGGTGAAATAGTCTGAACGCTATATTTTATTTAGCCTAATATATCCAAAATGTTCTTATTTCCATTTATAATCAATACAAAAATTATTGAGATATTTTATGGGTTTTTTGGACTAAGTCCTCGGAATCCAGGATGCAATTTGGATTTTGGACCCACTGTATTTTAGATACCCAGTAGTCACACGGGGCTGGGACCCACTGTACTGGACAGCTCAGAGCTATACTTTTTAAGAAAATGGGGGCCGGCCAGTGGCTTAGTGGTTAAGTTTGCGCACTCCACTTCTGCAGCCCGGGGTTCGAGGGTTCAGATCCCAGGCCCTGACCTACACCACTTATCAGCCACGCTGTGGCAGCATCCCACATACAAAATAGAGGAAGATTGGGATGGATGTTAGCTCAGCGACAATCTTCCTCAAGCAAAAAAAGAAGGATTGGCAAAGATGTTAGCCCAGGGCCAATCTTCCTCACCAAAGAAGAAGAAGAAGAAGGTCCAGAGATTTCCCCTAACCCCCCGCCCCCGCCTAACACGCATAGCCTCCCCATCATCGAGTCCCCCCCAGAGTGGGACATTTGTTACAACTGATGAACCTACCTAGACATATTATCATCCAAAAACAAATTTGTTTTAAACAACCAGGTATAACTTTCACAATGGGGGTGGGGGGGAACCCTAAGGTGTTTCTGTTTCAAAAATTAAATAAAATGAGGAAATTGGACTTAAAACTTATAATAAAAAATATGAAAAGAACAAGTGAGCCTTTGGGGGCACAGATGCTTATACTAGTGTTGACTAATCCAGGTGCTGGGTGGGCGCGGGGGAGGGGGGGGAGTGGGGTGCAGAGGGCGGGGCCGGAGCGAGGGCGGGGCCGCCCCTCCCGGCGGGTTAAGCCCCGCCCCTTACCTGCATCTTGCGCGCCTGCTTCACCGCCTCCTCCTTGCCCTGCCCCGCGGCCGACATCTGCGCCTTCAGCTCCTCCAGCTCCGCCTCCAGCTTCTTGCGCGCGGCCACCGCCAGGGCGCGCTGCTTGCGCTCCTCGTCCCGCTCCACCTCCGCGTCCCTCAGCTGGGGGGTGGGGAGGCCGAGGAGGGGCGGGCTCAGGGGACAGGAGACCCAGGCTCCCTCTACATGCTGGTGACATAGCTGTCCACCCCCCAGCCCCTGCCCAGGCCTTGAGCCCCGTCCCTCCTACCCCTTGCCTCTCTCCACCTGGAACAGAACTCTCCTCTCTATCCGCGCGGCCCCAGCCCCAACCTCCTCTCTGCTTGGGTCTCTCCCCTCCAGCCCATTCCTGCATGGATCCAGAAGGATCCTTCTATCCTCGGAGCTGACACTGCCTGTCCCCTGCTCACGGCCCCCTTGGGCTCCCCAGTGCCTCCAGGACAAAGGTGTGGACACTCACCTGTGGCTGGATCAGTGGGGCCAAGGGAGATCAACCACACTCAGAGGACCACCCCCCGAGCCTTGGGTCCCCTGTTCATCGCTCCTTTCAAGCCTCCCAGCTCCAGTCTCCCCCACCCCCGACCCCGTCTGCTGCCCACGTGGCCCCAGACGGGTCTTTCTGACACTCGGGGCTGACCAGCCTCTCGCATGCTCAGCGCTCATCTCCTAGCAGAGTGCCCTGCCTCGCCGCAGACCACAGGAAATTCCTCGACTGAATGAGTGATCAATGACTGGTGCAGAGAGGGAGAGAGGGATGGACGGAGGAGGAAGTGGGTGAATGAGTCAATGAAGGACGGAGTGAGGTCGTGGTTGAAGGGGGTGTAGACGAGCTGGTGGTGTAGACGAGCTGGTCAATGGGAGAGTGAATGAGTCAATGAAGGAGGGAGTGAGGTCGTGCATGAAGGGGGTGTAGACGAGCTGGTGGTGTAGACGAGCTGGTCAATGGGAGAGTGAATGAGTGCCTGGGTAGGCTGGGGGTGTGAGAGGCCGAGGCTGGATAAATAAGGGAGTGGCTGGGTTGGGGAGAGGAGGTTGCTTGGAAAAGGGTAGTTGGGTGGATGGAGAAGTTGCGTGCAGAGCTGGTTGCGTAGACGTATTGGCTGGTGGGGAGGCTGTCTGGGTGGCGGAGTAGATGGGTGCGTGAGTGGTCTGGTGGGTAGAGATGTCTGATTGGGTATGTCAGTAGGTCAATGGGATCTGTGTGTGGGTTCATGGGTTATGGTGGGCGACTGGGTTGGGGAACGGGGGGATGCTGGCTAGCGGGAGACACTTGGGTAGAAACACGGAGTAACAGGTGGGTGGGTGACACTTCTGGCCCCACTCGCTGCCCGGCAGCACCCCCGCCCGGCCTGCTTGTACCTGCTTGGCCAGCTGCCGCCGTCTCTCCTCGCCAGTCTCGTCGCGGCCCTGCAGGTCCCGCTCGTGCTGCGCCTTCAGAGCCTGCATGGTCACCTCCAGGCGCAGCTTGGCGTCCTCGGCCGCTGTCAGCTCGTCCTCCAGCTCCGTCACCTGGGTCCGCAGGTCGTTGGCGGCCTGTTCTGCCACCCGGCGGGCTCGCTCCAGCTCATGCACCTGGTGGGGAGGGAGCGGGTCCTTGAGGGCGGGGGCGGCCAGGATCGCAGGTCTATCCTCGCAGAGAGGGAGGGAGCAAGTCGAAGTGACCGTCCTCGTTCGTTCATTCACTCGATCAACGCTTCCTAGACGCCTGCTTACGATGCGTCTCATTCTGAATCAGCCTGAATAATCCACGCACTTTATTAATAATCCACGCGTGATCATTCTATCATCTGAAGCTCGAGAGCCCACTTCAACTGTTTGTTAGGTCAGCTGACTGTCAGGAGCGGTGGCTCATTTCCTCGTGCGTTTTGTGATGCCGGATTGGGAGCTCACTTTACTGGGGCTCCATCTTCGGGAGCTCTGTGTGGAGGCGCGTGGAAGGCGTGGAGCTCCAGCGTTAAGCGCCAGACTTGCCAGGACACTGCCAACCCACTCTCGACTTCTCTTTTTTTCTCAGCTTGGGGGATTCTCAGCCCTTTCAGGAAGGTGGAGACGAAAACCCCCAAACGCCCTGTGGAAGCGGATCTGGGTTTATGAATTCTGAGACCCCCCCCCGCCCCAACGCCTCTCCTTAATTGTCACCTCCTCAGAGAAGTGTCCCTTGACCTGTCAGGGCCTCCCTGTGACCCACGTTCCCTGCACCGGGCTCCTCTCTGACTCAGCCCTGGTCACAAAGGTCCTTTAACATGGGCTCAGGTGTCTTTTCGCGCAACGCCCGTCTCCCTCACTGGGCTGTGAGCTCCACAGGGCGGGGACCGTACCCGCGTGTCACCACCACCCAAGGACCCTCACGGAAATGCTGGCCAGTGACAGTGTCAACGTTCAGCCCTTGGGAGGGGCCAACTGGTCTCTCCTCCTCCTTCGCACCTGCCAATCAATGTTGTTGACTTGAAGGAGTCAAGCTGTCTCCCACTGTCACCCTGTTTCCCACAAAGGCCTTTGGAGTCATGACAAACAACTTGATGGTTTTCCCAAAGGCCAGACTTTGGCCGTTCGAATCCGAGTTGGATCTCGGCTCCGGTATCCCTGGGGCTGCAGGCCGGCCACGGGTATGTCACGGGGGTGGGGCTCTCTCCAGGCCTGGCTAAAAGCTCCATCGGGTCAACGCCAAAGCGTGTGGAGAAGATAGAGCCCCCAGGGGTCCTACTCATGGGATTACGCTGTTTGGAATAAGGAAGGAGGTCCAAGTGCGGCTGCCCAGGGACCCGACTGAACATGGATGCCGTCAGCGCCTCCCGTGAGCAGTCCGGGTGGCCGCATCCCTGGGCCTGTCCTGGCTGGTGCTCCATAAACATATTGGGATGAAGGAAGGACGGCGTAGAGGGTGTGGTGGACCTTACAGAGGCTGGATACCCGGTGAGTGGGGCCTGGGGACAGCCCTGGGGGACCCCTTGCCAGCCCTGGAGGGATGTGTGCATCAGGGGAAGACAGAGGCTTGGTGTGGGAGCCTGAGTGTGCTCAGTGGGGTTGGGGGTGGCAAGGTGGGGTGTCCTCGCCCTGGGCCTGTGATGTGTGTGCAGTGTGTGTGCACGTGTATGTGCACATCGTCAGGTTTGGGGCACGGTTCTCCGGCTGTATATTGTGCATGTTCCCTCTCTCTCAGCATTCATACATGCGGGATGCGTGGTTTTCACACTCTCATGTCTGTGAGCAGCTCCCCTGTTCTGTGCGAACGTGTGTGTTTGATGGAAGATTCGCCTCCCGTTCTGTGTATGTTACATGAACACGCATGTTGGTGAAAGGCTGTCTTTACTGTCCGTGTGTGCACATGGACACGTGTGTTGGTGAACGGCTGTTTTAACTGTCCATGTGTGCGCGTGGACACGCGCGTCTGCTGGAAGCAACTCCTCACACTCTGTATGTATGTGAACACGTGTGCCTGGTCTGTGCGTGAACACGTGACCTGGTGGCCGGCTCTCGCCACGTCCCGTGTGTGAGCGCACGCGCGTGTCTGCCCGCCCCAGCATGGAGCACGCGCGCAGTGGCCCCCTCGCGGGTCCGGGGAGCGGGGTGCTGCTCACGCTCTTGCCGACGTCGTCCTTGCTGCTCAGCAGCGCCTCCAGCTCCGCGCGCAGCGCCCGGTTCTGCCGCTCCAGCTCCTCGCGCGCCTCCTGCTCCTCCTCCAGCGCCCGCGCCAGCGACAGGGCGCGCGCCTCGCGCTCCCGGCTCTCCGCCTCCACCCGCTCGCGCTCCTCCACCGCGCGCAGCACCGCCGCCTTCTCCTCCGCCAGCAGCTTGCGGTTGAGGGAGATGGGGTGGGGGGGAAACAGGTTAGCTGAAAGGAGCATCCGAGGGGGTGGGAGAGAGGGGGCAGCCGGGGACAGAGAGACGGATGGACACACCGACAGACAGAGGCAGAGACACAAGAGGAAGGGAGAGGGATTAAAGTCGCAGCCATGTCCCAAACCAGCTCAACTCCCGAAGGGGCCAGAAGGACGAGCCCCTTGCTCTCGATTCCCAACAAAGCAGAGGGAGTTCTGGGGGCAGTGGTGGAAAAAAATACATTTTTCTAAAAAACGGACTTCAACGTTTACTGTTTTTTAAGACAGTAATTGATGAACCATAAAGCTGATAAGACATGCAGAAAGGAAAGAGAGTGGGACTCATAGTGAAGAGGAAAATCAGCCCGTGAAGACAGACCCACAGACGACTAGATATTGGGATTCTCACACCAGGACTTTAACTATGAGAAGTAAGTTTCAGGACCAGATGGATACAATGTGTCAAGAGACAGGGTTATCTCAGGAGGGATTTCAAACTAAAAGAGAACCCAACAGACATGGCAGAACTGAAAAGTGTAAGATCCGAAATCAAAAGGTCATCGGATGAGAGGCGGCCGGTGGGGCAGCGGTTAAGTGCGCACGTTCTAGTTCGCGGCCGGGGGTTTGCTGTTTGGGGTCCCAGGTGCAAACCTATGCACGGCTTGTCCAGCCATCTTGTGGCAGGCATCCCACATATAAAGTAGAGGAAGATGGGCACATATGTTAGCTCAGGGCCAGTCTTCCTCAGCAAAAAGAGGAGGATTGGCAGCAGATGTTAGCTCAGGGCCAATCTTCCCCACCCCCCAAAAAAGAAGAAAAGGTCATCGGATGAAATTGGGAGCAGACTGGACACATTAGAAGAATCCGTAAACTTGAAAACAGGTCAGTGGAAAGCATCTAAATAGAGCAAAGGAAGAAAAAAGATTGTAAAACAAATAGACAGAGCTTTAACAATCTGTGAGAGAGCATCAGTCAAACACATGGATTTGGAGTCTCAGAGAAAAGGGAAAGAAAAGGAAAACAAGAAAAAATTGGAGAACTAACTACTTGATTTTTAATATATAGGCAAAAACAAGCGGGGAGAGTGTTTTCCACAAATAGCGTTTGAACAATTAGAAATCCATATATATAAAAACTTAACTTGGAGCCATGATCGCAGCATATAAAAAAATTACTCAAAAGGGATCATAGACCTAAATGGAAAACCTAAAAGTAGAAAGCTCCTAGAAAAAAACACAGGCAGAAACCTTTGTGACCTTGAGTTAGGGAGAGATTTCTCAGACACGACACCAAAAGCGTGATCCACACGATAAGAAATTAATAAACTGGACTTCATCAAAATGAAAAACTTCTGCATTTTGAAAAACTCTATTAAGAGAATGAAAAGACAAGCCACAGGCTGGATGAAAATATCTGCAAAGCAATATATCTGATAAAGAATTTGTATCCGGAATATATAAAGAACTTTTGAAAATCAATAATAAGAAAAGAAATGACCCAATTTAAAAAAAAAAGGGGGGGTGCAAAAGATTTGAACAGATGCCTCACCAAAGAAGATGTGTGGATGGCAAATAAACACATGAGAAAATACTCAACATCGCTGTTCATTAGGGAAATGTGATTAAAACCACTACGTCCTGTTACAAAGACTAAGGCTTTATTCATAATAGTCAAAAACTAGAAACAACTCAATGTTCATCAACAAGTTAATGGATATACAAAATGTTGTTTATCTATACAGGAGTAATACTTGGCAGTAAAAAAAAGGAACGAATTATTGATACATGCAGAAACATGGATGAATCTCAAAATAATTCTTCTTCTTTTTCTTTTTTTTGTGAGGAAGATTGGCCCTGAGCTAACATCTGTGCCAGTCTTCCTCCGTTATGTATGTGGGACGCCGCCACAGCATGGCTTGATGAGCAATGTCAGTCCATGCCTGGGATCCCAACCAGTAAAGCCTGGGCCGCTGAGGCAGACCATGTGTACCCAACCACTACACCACCAGGATGGCCCCTCAAAATAATTATTCTGAGTGAAAGAAGCCAATCAAAAAAGAAAAGTCTATGAAAAGAAAGGCATGGGTGTTAGCTTAGGGCCAGTCTTCCTCAGCAAAAAAAAAAAAAAAAAAAAAAAAAGAGGATGATGGGCAGCAGATGTTAGCTCAGGGCTGATCTTCCTCAAAAAAAAAAAAAAACATAAAAAACAAAAAAAGGAGAAGAAGAAGAAGGCAAAATAATGACTCCCCCATATTCTGGATAAAGAAAATGGGGCACAGAGAGGGTTGAGCAATTTGCCCAAGTCACACAGCTGGAAAGAGGCTAAGATGGGATTTGAACCTCAGGCTTTGCTGATCTTAACGATCTGGGGTTCTGTGATTTTTATTTCATCCTCGGATGGCCAGATGCTTAATATTATCCCCATTTCCTAGATGGGCAAACTGAGGCTGAAATGGGACAGGCATCTTGCCCCGGGATCCCCCCGCCAAGTTCATAGTTGAGCTGTGACCCCACCGTAACACGGGAGGCGGACGAGCATCCTGAAACCCCAGCTGGGGAAACCGAGGCGCCCTACCTGGTCGAACTTGCGCTGCTTCTTCTCCAGCGTGCTCACGAGCTGCCTCTGCTGCTCCAGGTCCATGGTGGCGTCGTCCAGCTCCTGCTGCAGCCGGCGGCGGCCGCGCTCCAGCCGGTCCACCACCTCGGTCTTCTCCGCCAGGCGCTGGGTCAGGGTCTCCGCCTCGCGGGCCGCCCGGCGCCGCGCCTCCTCCCCTGCCTCCAGCGCCCCCGCCTCCTCCTCCTGGCGCCGCCGCCACTCTGAGAGCTGCGGGGAGGAGAGAGAGGGTGGGTAGCAGTCATGGCTGTAACAAGGCGCTACCTGGTGCTGCCCCACTTCCCAGAGGAGGAGACTGAGGCCTGAAGAGGGAAAGGACTCGCTCTGCTGGGCTCTTCTGCCTCGGAGGTGGGTTGAGGTTGTGAGTTCTGTGAGCCTCAGCTCCTTCGGGAGATTAAAATTATTCCCACCAGGACCCAGAGATGAAGCAGACCCCACTTGGCCCTGGGGAGCCCCCAGTCTGATGGGGGAGACTGAGCATCACAGCCAGGGTGATGCAGGCTAAGGTATGGAAGCCATGGGACTCCACAGGAGGGAGTCAGCATCTGTTCTGAACACTCAAGAGAGACTTCCTGGAGGAGGGAGGCATTTGAAGTGGGTCTTGAAGTAGGCATAGGAGTTTGCCAGTTGAAGAAGGATATTTGCAGGCATGCGTTCATCAGTCATTTCTCAAGGCCTACCATACATCAGGCTCTCTGTTGGGCTATGCTGGGGATCCAGATCTAACTCTGATAGGGTCACACTTTCAAGGAGCTCCCCATCTGGTGGGGAGACTCCCGGGTGGAGACAGCTCCAGGCCAGGATGATGAGAGTGGGGATGGGGGAGAAAAAGTGTTGTGGGAGCTCAGAGGGGTTGGTCAGGGACTTCCTGCAAGAGGGAAGGCGGGCGAGTGTAAGTTCTAAGGAATGTCAAGGGGGTTCCCAAGTGAAGGCGGGAAGGAGAGATGAGAGACAAACGCAGCCAGAGAGGAAGGAAGGACCAGAGGATGCAGGGCCTCCCGCACCCCGCTGAGAGGCAGGGGCTTTGTCCAGGAGCAGCCACAGCACAGGAGGGCTGTGGGCGAGGGAGGGGCAGGGGCCGCTCTGGGTGTAGATGGATCCCTCTGGGGCCGTGTGAGGATGAGCTGGAAGGGGAGAGAACTGGGAGGAGCAAGCTGGGGACCCGGGTGTCCCCTCGAGGTCTCCTTCCGGGATGGCTCACCTGGGCCTGGGCGGTCTGCAGCTCGCGGCCCGCCCGCTCCCTGGCGGACGCCTCCTCCTCCAGCTGCTCCCGCAGCCCCGCTGCCTCAGCCTCCAGGGCTCGCGCCCGGGACCCCAAGGCCAGCTTGGCCCTGGTCTCCTCCTGCAGCAGCTCCTGGAGACGGAAGGGAGAATGGAGGTCAGGGGTGGGCAGGAGGGCGGGTGGGTCCGGGGGGGCTGGGTGCTGAGGGGTGGGCTGGGGTCACCTGGGCATCGTGCAGCTGGGCCTCCGTGCTGCTCAGCTCCTTGCTCAGCCTGATCGCTCTGGACTCGGCCTCACTCAGGGCCCCGGACACGTTCTCGAGTTCAGCCTGTGGGGAAGGGGCACCTTCCAGTGGTGGCTTCTGTCCAGCCGACCCCACCGGCTCCTCCACCTCAAATCCCCACCACACACTGCTGTCGGGAAGGTAAAATGGTGAGGCTGCTGGGGAAAAGAGCCTGGCAGTTCCTCAGATGGTTAAACGTGGGGTTTCCATGTGACCCAGCAATTCTGCTCCTAGGCATGTCCCCAAGAGAAAGGAAAACATATGTCTATGCAGAAATGTGTACAGGAATGTCCAGAGCAGCTCGATTCACTATAGCCGAAAGGTGGGAACCACCCAAATGTTCATCCACTGGTGAATGGATAACCAAAATGTGGTCTATCCAGGCAGTGGAATATTACTTGGCCCTGAAAAGGAACGAAGTACTGAGAGATGCTACAACATGGATGAAGCTTGAAAACATTTTGCTGAGTGAAAGAAGCCAGAAACAAAAGGACAAATATCGTATGGTTCCATTTATACGAAATGTCCAGAATAGGAAATCTAAAGCGACAGAAAGTAGATTAGCAGTTGCCAAGTCGGGGTGGGGGAGGATTGGGGGATGGTAGCTAAGGAGTACAGGATTTCTTTTTGGGGCAATGAAAATGTTTTAAAGCTAGATTATGGTGACGGTTGTACGACTCTATGGATATGCTGAAAACCACTGAATTTTACATTTTAAAATGGGTGAGTTATGTGGTGTGTGAGTTATATCTCAATAATGCTGTCCCTCTTCCCCCTAAAATTACCCTGAGCGAGGCCCCTGGCTTCGTGTTCCTTCACTGTAGGAATCGGGCAGCGGTTGCCCACTTCTGTCCCCTGGACTCCTCCTCTGCCCATCCCCCGCTGTGTCCCCAGGGACCACAACAGGCCTGGCACACAGTAGGTGTTCAGTAAACGTTTGCTGGATGAGCGTGTCCAACACTGAGCCCCACCCTGAATGTCCCTCCCTCCTTTTCCAAGGTTCACTTCGGGAATAACGTTGGGTTCGAACTCTGGCTGGTAAGAAAATTGATCTGAAACCTTGGAAATAAGACAAGAAGATGGCCAGGTGTCCTTCTGACGTCACAGAACGGGACCATCTAACAAGCCCGCCTCAGGTTCACCTCACTCTCCGGGGGAAGGAAGCTTTTGTTGACTTGCACTGTGACGACCGAGTGGCAAATTATTTCTATTCAGGAGAAGAGATGACGTAGAGCTTACATTTTATTGCCCTGTGGGACATTAGCCAATTTGGTCTCTAACTGTGCCATTTCATTCTGGCATTCTTTGTTTTGTTTTGTTTTGTTTTTTTTAAAGAATATTCTTATCTCATTCTTGGTACTTTTTTTTTTTTTTTTGCTGGGAAAGATTGGCCCTGAGCTAACATCTGTTGCTAACTTTCCTTTTTTTCTCCCTCCCCAAAGCCCCAGCACATAGTTGTATATCCTAGTTGTAAGTCCTTCTAGTTCTTCTATGTGAGCTGCCACCACAGCATGGCTACTGACAGACTAGGAGTGTGGTTCCGCATGGGAATTGAACCCAGGCCACCCAAGCAGAGTGCACTGAACTTTAACCACCAGGCCATCAGGGCTGGCTCAGGCACTCTCTCTCTTGCTGATTACAAACACACCAATCTCTCGTCTCTCACCTTGAACACCTTTGCCATCCCACTGGGTCCCTCATTAGTGCTTTAAATAAATCTCTGATGTGTGTTCACTAAGTCTTTGCATGAGACTCATGCTTTGACCTTTGAAAATTATATTTTGACCTGGTCTTGGCACCTCCTGGCTGTGCGACCTGAGGCAAGTGACTCCTGTCTGTCTGGCCCTCAGTTTCCTCATCTGGAAAATGAGGGATGATAACAGGACCTGCCTCCCAGGGCTGCTTTGAGGAGGAAATGAAATATTGAAGATACAGGGACTCGCCCAGTGCCTGGTACACACCTAGTGCTCAATAAATAGGAAAATATGACAATTTTTTAGCATTTAATGTGTGTCCAGGGGCCATTCTAAGCGTTTTACAAGTATACGCTCATCAAATTCACACATCAACCCTATGAGGCTGTGGAAAGTAGTAAGAGAAACCTTAACTGAATTGGAGTCAGAAGGCCTGTAGGGGGAGCTCTCACACCCTATGACACATGGTCAGTTACACCAAAGGATGCTTGTCTCTGGGACAGGAAATAAAACCACTTTACTACTGAAGGAAGATTTCTCTCCCCACCTGGCAACAGCTCAGCCAATGAGAAACACCACAGCTCAGCCAATGAGAAACACCACAGCTCAGCCAATGAGAAACACCACAGCTCAGCCAATGAGAAACGCCACAGCTCAGCCAATGAGAAACACCACAGCTCAGCCAATGAGAAACGCCACAGCTCAGCCAATGAGAAACGCCACAGCTCAGCCAATGAGAAACGCCACATCTCAGCCAATGAGAAACACCGCAGCTCAGCCAATGAGAAACACCGCAGCTCAGCCAATGAGAAACACCGCAGCTCAGCCTATGAGAAACACCGCAGCTCAGCCAATGAGAAATGCCACCACAGCTCAGCCAATGAGAAACACTGCAGCTCAGCCAATGAGAAATGCTGCAGCTCAGCCAATGAGAAGCCGTTGCCACCCTGAACTGTTACTTTCCCCCAATGGACTTTCCTTTAGAACAGCCCCTCCCTCTCCCCCTTTTTCTCTATAAAGACAGCTCCCTGGCTTTGTTCTCTGGATTTGCCTATGGTGAACCATAGCAGGCACATCCTGAATAGCAAATTCTTTTCACTGTTCCTAAATAAACTCATTTTGAGATAAAATAGGCAAGTTTGCTTTTTAAGTTACAAGGCAGATACCTTTATTATTCCCTGTTTACATAAAGGGAAGCTGAGGCACAGAGAGGTTAGGCAATTTGCCTAAGATCACACGGCTACGGGTGGTGGAACTGAGATCTGAGCCATGAGAGAATGGCTCCAGAGCTGCATTATCCAATATAGTAGGCACTAGCCTTATGTGGCTATTTAAATTTAAAGTAATTTAATTAAAAGTAAAAACCCACTTCCTCAGTTGTACTCGCCACATTTCGAGTGCCCAGAAGCCAAGTGGATGGCGCAGTTAGAGAACATCTCCATCACTGAACAGAGTCCTGCTGGAGAGTGCTGCCTAGAACTCCTGCTGTCAGCCGCCAAACGCTACTTTTGGTGTCACTTTTATTTTTATAATATGTACGGCGCTCAGCACAGGGACCCCCAGGGAGCATGATTCTATTTGGGGCAGATCCTAGGTGTCCCCCCAAATCCATTCTTCCCTGGTCCCACTGTGACGGGTCCATGGCTGCCAGCTAGAAACTACATTTCCCAGCTTCCCTTGCAGCTAGCTGTGGTCATGTGATTGTGTTACGGCCAATGGAAGGCGAACAAAGTGATGGATGCAAATTCTGTCCCCTCCCCTCTCCCCTTTCTGAGCTGGACCACAGACGTGCCCACAACCCAGGTCTGACTCTGAAGATGAGGTCAGTGTTCTTGGGATGGTGGGGCGACAAGACTAAGGAACCCCAAGGAGCACGGTGTCCTGCCAGCCATGACGGCTTGCCCTGAGCCCATTTCTTGAGAGAGAAAGACCTGTGTTTTTGATTTAAGCTGATGAATTCTGGGGTCTCTTTGTTAAGCAGCCCAACCTTTCCCCTCATGAATACACTGTTTTAATCTGGAAATTCAAGACTGTCACTGTGTTTTCCGAAATTGAAAGTCATTCTTCCCTCTGTTCTTCTTGCTTGTTTGTATTCTCAATAACGAACAGGTATTGGTCATTGAGTTAAAACACATAATAAAATAAAATGTTAAAAATCCATTTTTTGGGGCCAGCCTGGTGGCGCAGAGGTTAAGTGTGCACGTTCCGCTTCAGCAGCCTGGGGTTCGCTGGTTCAGATCCCGGGTGCGGACATGGCATCGCTTGGCAAGCCATGCTGTGGTAGGCGTCCCACATAGAAAGTAGAGGAAGATGGGCACGGATGTTAGCTCAGGGCCAGTCTTCCTCAGCAAAAAAGAGGAGGATTGGCGGCAGATGTTAGCTCAGGGCTAATCTTCCTCAACAAAAATTTTTTTTTTAAATCCATTTTTCTTCTTCAATATCGTCTTCACACAGTTCCACGTAGTCACACTGGGCTGTTCTAACCAGACCACAGACTATTTAAGGCCAGAGGAGAAGGGGGTGGAGGGTGGAGGCTGTGGCAGGGTTAAGAGCTACAGGGTCAGACATGGCTGGGTTCGAGTTTTGGCTCTGAGGGACCTTAGACAATCAACTTCACCTCCCTGGGCCTCAGTTTCCTCCTGTGTAAAATGGGAACAGTACAAGCACGTCCCTCAAAGGAGAGCCAGGAGGATTTAGTGAAATACACGGGATGGTTGGCATATAGTAACAGCTCACCAAATACTAGCTATTTATACGTGATTATGTTGGAAAAGTTGGAAGGAACAACAGGGCTGAGGTGGACCAAACAGAAGCCCAGAGAGGGCAGGTATCTCACTCAACATCACACAGCAGAGACCACCCCTGCCCTGGCCGCCCCACTCACCTGGGCCCGCTGCAGCTTCTCCGCAGCCTCTGCTCGGGCCCGCTCTCCATCACCAGCCCGGCCCTGCACCTCCTGCAGCTGGGACTCCAGGCGGCGCCTCTTCTGCTCACCCTCCTGACGCGAGGTCTGCAGGCTGTTCAGTTCCCCCCGTAGCTCGGACACCTCGGCCTCCAGGGCCAACCGGGTCTTCTCCCATGCACTTTTGCCCTGGTGAGGGAGAGAGGCAAGCAAAGATTTATGATTCCCCACATCTACCAGGCCAGGCAGACTCCTGTCTCAGGGCCTTTGCACTGTCTATTCCCCCTGGAACTTCTCACTGCTCCTTAAAGACTCAGGTACACTCCTGCCACAGGGCCTTTGCACAGGCTGTTCCCTCTGCCTGGACCACACTTCCCCGTGATGCTGGGATGGCTCACCCCTCGCCTCCCTCAGTGCTTCCCTTGGATGTCACCTTCTCAGAGAATCCCTCCCTGCCTCTCTATTTAAGATCACACTCCCCAAGTAGCACTCTGACCCCCTCTCCCTGTTCATTTCCCCACAAGGGAAGGGAACAGCATGTGTTCAGCTAATGCGTGCCGAGCAAAAGATGAAATGAAGCCGTGAAGATGGGAGGGAAGAAGCCCAGAGACGTGGGCCGGCCCAGCACCAGCCGAGGCACCTCCTCCAGCCCAGCATCCTGCCCTCCCCTCCAGCCCAACTCACCCTCCGGGCCTGCTCCAGCTGCTCCGCCAGTTCTCCCAGCGCCTGGCCGTGGCGCTGCCTCAGCTCCTGCACCGCCACCTCGTGAACACGCGTCTCCTCTTCCAGAGCCTTCTTCAGCTCTGTCACCTCCTGCTCCCTCTTGGACCTTTCATTGTGGGAGGAAGATGGGGAGCAGAATTTCAGAATAGAGGAAGGCAGGGACTTTGGGGGAGCATCCCCTCAACAGCCAGTTGTGCCTCCATTTATTGTTTCCCACCAAAGATGGGGACCTCACTCTGCGATCCCCAAGGGATCTGGGTGGTGATGCTGTGGGAGAAGGGTGGCTTTAAGGGTGAGCTCCTATGCATCCCTCAAAACCCTATTCAGAAAGCCCCTTCTCAAGGACGTCTTCCTGGACTCCCTCCCATAGATGTGGCATAGGGGCCTGCTCTTATCATCCACGATGCCCTCTGCTACTCCATTAAAGCATGCTTTGTCCCAGATTGGGTCTACCTTTGCTCGAATCTGCTTCCCCCCACACACCAGGAGTTCCTCAGAGCGGTGCCTGGGTCTAACTCACCTCTGTCCCCAGCTTGGCCCAAGCGGGGCCCAGAGCTGGTGCTCCACAAACAACTGTTGAACGACTCACAAAACCCTTGTGTCGATGGAAAGCTGGCACCCCCACCCCGACCCCTAGTCCTTCTCTCTCCCCGGACCTCGCCCTGCACGTGTTCAGCCGCCAGGCGGCCAGGCCTCACCGGAGCTCCTGCTGCGCGTTGGTGGAGTCCAGCGTGTCCTCGAGCTCGCCCCGCAGCGCCTCCAGCTCCTCGCCCAGGTCCCGGCGCTGCTTCTCGGCCTTGGCCCGGGCCGCGCGCTCCGCCTCCAGGTCCTCCTGGGCCTCGGCCAGCCCGGCCTGCGCCTCCCGCAGCGACTTGAGCAGCTGAGCCCGGGCCCCGCCCTCCTCCTCTGCCCTGGGGGTGGACGAGGACCACGCAGTTGGTAGGGGGGCAGGCAGGCGGGGGAGGGATGATTTCTGGAGGCGGAGAGGCCCGAGGAGGACTATGGGGGTGGCCAGGGCTGGGTTCAAATCCCAGCTCCGCCCTTGGGCACATGCCTCCGGAGCCAGCACCTCAGCTTTCTTAGCTGTGAAATGGGAATGACACTGACAGTGGCCACAGCCACACTTACTAAGCTCCCGCCACATGCGAGTCCTTTACTTATCATCTCATTGAAAGCTCACACCCAATGAGGAAACTGAGGCTCAGAGTGGGAAAGCACTTGCCCTGGTCACTCGGCCAGTGACCTGGCCCCACAGCCCCTCCTCATTGCCCTGACCCAACATGGCCTCCTGCAAAGAGAAGCTGGGGGCCGTGCTCCACTTCAGCAGCCCAGATTTCACTAGTTCGGATCCTGGGTGTGGACCTACACACGGCTCATCAAGCCATGCTGTGGCAGCATCCCACATAGAAGAACTAGAATGACCTACAACTAGGATATACAGCTATGCACTGAGGGGCTTTAGGGAGGAAAAAAAAAAGAGAAATATCGGCAACTGATGTTCACTTAGGGCCAATCTTCCTCAGCAAAAAAAAAAAAAACAAAAAAAAAAACCCAGAAGCTGAATTGAGGGCAGTGTGGACTGGGAGTTAAATGGCTCAGGGAGCCCCTGCTCAGCCACCTGCCCTGGCAGGTGACAACCTTTCCTAACTAGAGGCAGCTAGTCTGTGAGGGGACACAAACGCCCCACGTCGCAGGATCGCCATGAGGATGGCAATAAAAATAATCATAAGAGGGCAAAAGAATCCCACAACTAGAAGAACCTACAACTAAGATATACAACTATGTGGCGGGGGGGAAGATAAAGCAGAAAAAAAAAAAAGAAGAAGGTTGGCAACAGTTGTTAGCTCAGGTGCCAATCTTTAAAAAAAGAAAGAGAGAGCGCAAAAGACTACATGTTGCATGATTCCACTTCGAGGAAATATCAACAAGCGAATCCCATGCGGACAGACAGCAGATGGGTGACGCCAGGGGCTGGGGCGGGGGGGGCGGGGGACGCAGAGCGACTGTTTAATGGGCGTGGGTTTCCTGGGAGGTGATGAAAATGTTCTGGAACGAGATAGAGGCAGTGGGTGCACAACACTGGGGACGTGCCAATTGCTGCTGAATTGTACACTTTAAAGGCCAATTTGGTTCTGTGAATTTCACCTCCATACAAAAAAAAAAAAAGAGAAAAACAAGGAACGACAGCCCTAACGAAGAGCAGCAACACACGCATCCAGACTTTCCCGAGGGCTGAGCGTGTGCGAAGTGTTTTAGGAGCATTTTCTCTCATTCAATCCCCACACGAACCCGAGGAGGGGCTGCTGTAATCAGCCCCATTTCACAGATGAAGAAACTAAGGCTACACAGGGGAGATCATCCGGGTGGGGTCACGTGGTCGGAACCGGGAGGAGCCGGGATTCAAACCCAGAAGTCAGACTTGAGGGGGCATGTTCTTTTTCTTTTGCTGAGATAGATTAGCCCTGAGCTAACATCCACCGCCAATCCTCCTCTTTTTGCTGAGGAAGACTGGCCCTGAGCTAACATCGTGCCCATTTTACTCTACTTTATATGTGGGACGCCTGCCACAGCATGGCTTGCCAAGCGGTGCCATGTCCTCACCCGGGATCAGAACCCACGAGCCCCGGGCCGCCCAAGCACAGCGTGAGCACTTAACCGCTGCACCACCGGCCGGCCTCCAGACCACCTTTCAAATCACAGCTGATTCCGGGCTGTTCCGTTTCGGGAGGAACAGACTGGGGCCTTTGTTCCCGGTTCCCTTGACCAGATGGGCTTGGAACTCGCTATGTCCACTTTACAGAAGGGGCTCGGGGCGGGTGTGCACGGCTGGCGGGGGGGGGGGGGGGGGGGGGGGGGGGGGGGGGGGGGGGGGGGGGGGGGGGGGGGGGGGGGGGGGGCGCTCCACCGGGCTGCGCCCCCAGGCGGGTGTGGATGCGGCGCCCCAGGGCTGCGCGCGCACCTGGCCAGCGCCGCCTGCAGCTCCTCCTCCTTGCGGCCCAGCTGCGCCCGCAGCTCCTCCGCCCGCTGCTGCTGCTCCCCCATCTGCTCCTGCAGCTCCGAGCTCTCCACGTCCAGCCGCCGCTTCAGCTTCTCCATCTCCTGGCGGCCCTTCTCCTCCTTCCGGAGGCGGTCTGAGGACGGAAGGGGGGGCCGTGCGTGGAAGGTTCCGGACCCACGCGCCCGGCAGCTCCCACGGCCCCCAGGACTCGCGGGGTGTAAGGCTGAGCTCAGCGCCTCCCTCCACACCTCCTCCTCTTCCCAGCTTACCCATCTCGGGGACGCCCCCCTGCCCCCCAGATCGTGGGCCAGATCCCCAGTGGCTGTCCCCTTCCCCTCACCCCCAAGGACACCCCTGCCTCTGCCCGCTGACTCTCTCGGCCCGTCCTCTCCTCGCTGCTCTCCCCCCCAACACCCCCACCCCCCCACCCCGGCCTCCTCTGGGCTCTTTCCCTTCTGTTTCTGATTCTGAGTCAACCGCGAGGGACACAGAGACAAGACAGTGTCTGAACCAGATAGCGGGACAGTCAGAGAGGGAGCGAGACAATAGCATTGAGAGAGACAGAAACAACTTGTCCCAAGCCTTCTTTCCTGCCCCCATTTAGCAAATATGACCACTGAGGCCCCAGAGCGCACGGGGTCGCCTGAGGTCACCACCCCCCACACCCTGACCCCAGCCGGAGCACGCACGGGGGCGGGCGCTCACCCTCCATGTCCGCAATCGTGGCCTCGTATTTGAGTCGAAGCTTATTGAGGCTCTTGACCTTCTCCTCCTCCTCGGCCGCCTGGGATGAGAACTCGGACAGACGGTCTTCCAGAAGCTTCCGCTCCTGAGGGTGGTGGGAGGTGGTGGGGGGGGCAGTGGTCAGGAGCAGCCCCACTCGCCCCTTGTCTTCGATGTCATTTTCCTCCGTGTTTCTGCTCATCGCCATCCTCCCCTGACCCTCCGGCTCCCAAGCCTTCCATCCTCCCCGATTCTCTAGGGCCTGCTGACCCGTCCCACCCCGACCAGTTCACGCCCGTCAATGTTGGTGTAGACGCCTATCATCCAAAGGACACCACCGTCATCCCCGTGACGGCCACTGAGGTCGATTCTAATCATTTGCTACTATAGACGACACGGCACGGAACATTCTCGCCACTACTGTACTCGAAGTCTGGCTCATGGACCAGCAGCCTCAGCATCCACAGGGAGCTTGCTGGAAATGCCGAACCCCGGGTTCCACCCCAGACCTGCCCAAGCAGAATCTGCATTTGAACGAGCTCCCCACAGGAGCCCCGTGCACATCGGAGTTTGAGAAGCATGGGCCTGGAGCAGTGGTTTTCAAACCGTGAGTGGTTTTAGAAATCAATGCAGTGGGTCGGCACTGCCCTTAAAAAGAAAGAAACAGAATGGAGTAGAAGGGGATAGTTATGAAACCGAAGGAATGTTCCAGAAGCTGTGCATCCTTGAACTCTCAACTCAGGCATCGTTGCCTCGGGGAACCCTTCTTTGACCACTCCCAGGACAGGTCAGGGAACCCTCCATCGTGTCCTGCTCTTTCCTGACAGTTTCTAATTAAGTCACAATTCGTGGTTCCGTTTATTTCCGGTGCTCACTCATCCCTCTCCCCGACCTGGCTGTGAGGGCGTAAATGGTTTTCCAGTTGGTTGGGTGTCATCGCCCCTGTGCCCACCCCAGTCCTGGCAGTGGCAGGTTAAAGAGGGCGGCAGATTCTCCACCATGTCCCCACCCAGGGGTAGAGTCTCCTCCCCACCCTCGCATCGGGGCTGAGCCTGGGGCTGTTCTCAGCTCAGGGGCTGCAAACCACAGCCTGAGGGCCAAATCCGGCCCACGGCTTGTTCTGATAAATAAAGTTTTATTGAGACACAGCCATGCCCATCCGAGGACAAACTGTATGTGGCTGCTTTCAGGAGACAAAGGCGGAACTGGGTGGTTGTGACAGAAGGCGTGGCCCGCACAGCCACAGATGTTCACCCTCTGGCCTCTTAGGGAAAATGTTTGCCAACACCTGAACTACAGAATTCAGCTGGAAGGGACGTGGTGTCGCTTCCAGGCTTAAGCTTTTAGAGGCCTGGCGGCTTCCGCTTCCTCTTCCCGGAGCCCTGTGCTGCTGGGGAAGAAATCCAGGCTCTCCGGTGGGGGGAGAGAGAGGCCACACGAAGGAGCACAGACACCCAGCGCCCGCCACCGCGTCATGGTGACCGCCGGAGAGAGCCACCGGGAGAGGAGGAGGAACCCACGGATCAATGGGATGCAGTGCAACGGTGCCTGTTTGCAGCCCCGCGGCTGGGGGTGTCATGATGCAGCGAGAGGTAACCACACACAGTAGTTGCTCAATAGAAACAGCTGCATGTGGGTGTGACCGAGAGGCAGGGAGAGAGAAAGGGTTAAAGGCACAAACAGCCACGATGAGAGCGACAAAGACCCTAGAGGTGGGGTGACCTGGGCACAGACGCAGGGAGGGACCCACGTGCCCAGCGGAGCCCCCCACTCGCCCCACCCTTGGGGGCTCGCCAGCCACCGACCTTGCTCAGCTTGGCGTTCTGATCTTCCAAGAGGAGCAGGTCTTCCTCAAACTTCTTCAGCTTCGCCTCGGTTGTCACCCTCTCCAGCTCCAGCTTCTGCCTGGCCGCCTCCTCAGCCTCCAGGTGGGTCTCCAGCTCCTGGGAGGGAGGAGGGCGGGGTGAGGACCGGGGGGCCGGGGGCCGGGCTGCCGTGGGAAGGATGCAGGGGGTAGACCACGGACCCCCCGGGGCGCGTGGCTCAGACAGGTCCACGCTCAGGGCGAGGCCGGGAAGGACAGCACCCCGACCGGCCTTCTCATCTCCTTCACTAGCCCAACAAGCATTTACTGAATGGTGAACATGCGTCAGGCCCTGTTCTGGGCACCGAGGACAGAGAAAGATCTTTGTCCTTGTGGAAATGACATTCCTGGGTAGGTGTGAAGATTATAAACAACCCACATGACGAAGAAACCCATTCTCCAGATGGCCGCTGTCTGCCACGGTGGTGACCAGGCACGTGTGGCAACTTGTGGTGTGAGACGGGGAATTAAGAGTCAGTATCACGCAACAACATGGATGGACCTCGAGGGCATGGCGCTAAGTGACATAAGTGAGACAGAGAAAGACAAGTCCCATGTGACTGCACTTATATGTGGAATCTAAAAAGCAGAAACAAAAACAAAAAGCCTGAGCTCATAGATACAGAGAACAGACCGGTGGAGGCCAGAGGTCGGGAGAGGGGCCAGGAGAAAGGGGCTCAAATGGCATAAACTTCCAGTTATGAAATAAATAAGTCCTGGGCCTGTAACACACAGCATGGCGGCTGTCGTTAACGCTGTGTTGCGTGCTTGAAAGTTGCGCAGAGTAGATCTCAAAAGTTCTCATCAGGGGGCTGCCCTGTGGCCGAGTGGTTAAGTCCGTGAGCTCTGCTTCGGCGGCCCAGGGTTCACATCCTGGGCGCAGACACGGCACCGCTCATCAAGCCACGCTGAGGCGGCGTCCCACATGCCACAACTAGAAGGACCCACAACTGAAAAATATACAACTATGTACTAGGGGGATTTGGGGAGAAGAAGATGGAAAAAAAAGAATATTGGCAACAAATGTTAGCTCAGGGCCAATCTTCGAAAAAAAAAATGTGTTGAAAACCAAAAAAAATTTTTTTTAAAAGTTCTCATCACAAGAAAACAATTTTTCTGTAACTGTGTAAGGGGACAGATGTTAACTAGACTTTAACTAGAGTTATTGTGACCGCGTCGCAATGTATACAAATAGCGAACCATTATGTTGTACACCTGAAACTAACATGTTATACGTCAATTCTACCTCGATTTAAAAAAAGATTCAGGGGCCGGCCCGGTGGTGCAGCAGTTAAGTGCGCATGTTCCGCTTTGGAGGCCCGGGGTTCCCCGGTTCGGATCCCAGGTGTGGACATGGCACTGCTTGGCAAGCCATGCTGTGGCAGGCGTCCCACATATAAAGTAGAGGAAGATGGGCACGGATGTCAGCTCAGGGCCAGTCTTCCTCAGCAAAAAGAGGAGGATTGGCAACAAATGTTAGCTCAGGGCTAATCTTCCTCAAAAAAAAAGACTCAACATTATGTGCTGCCTTGATGTCTGGTAATATTGGGAGGACATATAATGTCGGAACCACAAGTCCTCCTTCCCGCTCTGCTCCCACAGACAAAGTCCCCTCACCAATAACCCCCCTTATCAGGGGGACCAGGCACAGTGATAACAGGCTGCTCACCCCTCTGTAGTGGACTCCAGCTGCCTGCCAGCCCTCGGAATTATCCAAACAAACCCATCACGTCTCCCTGCAGGACCCAAGGGGTCACCTCACCCTCTTGTTACTATGAAGCCTGCCTCCCACAGCTGCAGCTTGAACACACCATTCCTGAGTGCAACCCTCATGTGCGTCTCTGTGGCGGGAGACTGCTTCCCTCAGGCTGTGGGTATCTGTGACTAATAAACTGCCATCTGGCTCTTCTGTGAAGGGTCGGGTGTGGTGTGTTAGACCATCTCCATAACTGTCGGGCAGGAACCCTCCCTCAGTGATGGAGGCAAGAGGAGGCAATTAAAACACTACTGAGCTCTTGAAGTGTGCTCAGTGTGACCGAGGACTGAATTTTCAATTTAATTTAATTTTACTTATTTTAAATTTAAAGCCAGACACTCAATTATTCACTGGAAAACTTTTAAGTATGTTTGGAACAACTTGGGTATGTAAATCTACTTTTTCTTTTTATATGATTTCTTTTTTTGGTGAGGAAGATTGGCCCTGAGTTAAGATCTGTTGCCAATCTTCCTCTTTTTGCTTGAGGAAGACAACCTGTGCCAATCTTCCTCTATCTTCTATATGGGATGCCGCCACAGCATGGCTTGATGAGCAGTGTGTAGGTCCATGCCCAGGATTGGAACCTGTGAACCCCGGGCCACCGAAGTGGAGAACATGAACTTAACCACCACACCATCAGGCCATCCCCTATAAATCTACCTTTTAAACAGAAGAACTTATGAAATATAAATGCCAATGAAGTATCACCAATGAAAATTTAGCATCTGAATGGAGATGTGCTGTAAGTGTAAAATACGTACTGGATTTTGAAGGGGAACCATGGGAGAGCAACCTGCCTGCAAATGCAGCAGCACAGAGGCAAATGAAGCCAGGAGATGGACAGAAGCAGAGTACTGAGGATATCACTTGAGCACCTGGATCCAGCCACGCCTGAAGCTTATCCATTCTAGTCTCCCATTATTTGAAACAAAAAAAAATTCTTTTTGCTTAAGCTACTTTGAACTGAGTTTTTCACAAATCCGTGGCCAAAAGAGACATGGTGTACAGAAGCAAAGGTGGGCGGGGTAGACAGAACGGTTGGGGGAAGGTGGCCTCAGGCATGCCGGGGGTGTACGAGAATGGGGGGTGGGGGAGGTGGGTCCAGACCTGTATATGCTGCTGCAGTCTCTTCTTCTCACTTTGCAGCTGGCGGCTGCACTCCTCCTCCTCGCCCACGCGGGCCTCCAGCTCCGACACCACCAGCTCCAGCTCCTGCTTTCGGCTTGCCAGCCGTCCCCGCGTCTCTTCGGCCTCAGCACACAGCTCTGCCTCTGCTCGCAGTTGCTCGGCCAGGCGGTTGCGCTCCTCTTCCAGCTGGGGACGGGGTGGGAGGTCAGCGGGCAGCAGGCGGTGCTCCCAGGACAGCCCTCGGTGGAGCACCAGGTCCCTCCTGTACCAGGGTTTGCTTTGCCCTTTGAGGCCCGGGGGGGGGCAGGGGGGCGGGGTGGGAGACACAGTCCCCCAACCCATTCCTCCCTCAGGTCCCCATCTCAGGATGACCCTGCATCCCCTTAGACATGGAGTCAGACCCCTAGGTGCCACCCTCCCCCTCATCTCCCCACAGCCCATCAGGCCCCAGCCCCGTCCCTCCTGGCCCCTGACTCTGTCTGCCCTGCCCCCTCCTCTGTCCTCACAGCCCCAGCAGGCTCAGGCCTCGTCCTCTCTCAGTGGACTCTCTCCTCAGCCTCCTCCCCAGCCTCCCGGCCTCCAGGCTCTCTCTCTCTCCAGTCCATCCTCCAAATAGCCCCAGAGAACCCTTTCCACCGTCTCTCATTTCATTTAATACTCCTACGCTAGAAATTTAACCACAGGAAATGATTCCGGAAAATTAGCAAACAGAAAACTGGTCAAGGAGAGGTTTGCTTCAGCATTATTTTAAGATACCAAAAATATTGGAAACAATAGAAACCCCACGGTCTGTGTACCATAGCCCTGCCCCGCATCCTAGAGCCCACTCCCTGAACATGGTGGCTCGACAGGAACCAGCCCCCCACCCCAATACCCTGTCTGCACCCCAAAAGCCCTGCTCCCTGCCAGTGGCGGCTCAACCACACCACACAGTTCCAGCCCAGGAGCCCCGTCCCTCAAACCTGGACCCGCCACAGCCCGCCCCTCACAACCTGGCTCCACCTACAGCCCTGCCCCACCCATGGCCCCCCCAACACCTTGGTTCCACCCACAGCCCTGCCCCACCGTGTCCCCACCCCTCACCATGGCTCCACCCACAGCCCTGCCCTACCCCCTGGCCCCGCCCCTCACACCCTGGCTCCACCCAAGCCCCGCCCCAGCCCATGGCCCTGCCCCTCATGTCCTGGCTCCACCCACAGCCCCGCCTCTCATGACCTGGCTCCACCCATGGCCCCACCCCTCATAACCTGGCTCTGCAGCCCTGCCCCACCCATGGCCCCCCCAACACCTGAGTTCCACCCACAGCCCTGCCCCACCGTGTCCCCACCCCTCACCATGGCTCCAACCACAGCCCCGCCCTACCCATGGCCCCGCCCCTCAAACCCTGGCTCCACCCACAGCCCCACCCCAGCCCATGGCCCTGCCCCTCATGTCCTGGATCCACCCAAGCCCCGCCCCACCCACGGCCCAGCCTCTCACACTCTGGCTCCACCCCAAGCCCCGCCCCTCACCTGCGTCAAGCGGTCCTGGAGCTCGCCCACCTCGCGGGCGCTCTGCTGCTGCAGCTCCTGCACTTTCTGCAGCTCCTGCACCCGCGCCTGCAGCACCTCATCCTGCCGCGTCACCTGCAGCAGTGGCTTCACCTGCAGAGGAGGGGGGATGGGGATGTGGAACAGCCGGCTGCCACCGCGGGAGCCCCTTGGCCCTGGAGCTAAGAGCTCCCACTCTGAGCTGGGCTCCATTCGAGGCCAGGTGCTCCACTGACCCGCTGCGTGAGCTCGGGCAAGCACCTTAGTGTCCCATCTATGGAATGGGGATGGTGACAGCCCCGGCTTCACCGCGTTTTCGGGGTGAGCGAATGAGCGAACACGGCTATTCTGTAACACCGTTTCTCAGGGTTCTCAGCCCACAGTCCGGAGTGAGAGGTGCTCGTGACACTGTGTGATTCCGGTTGGAGCGACAGGCGCCACGCACACCCGAAGCCATCCTGTATCTCTTTTACCCATGCTGGTTTGAGTCAGATTTTTTGGGTCACTTGCTACCTAAAGAATCCTAACAAAGTCTGAGCTGATCGGTCCCATTTTACAGATGCAGAAAACTGAGGCCCAAACAAAGGAAGTCACCTGACCCAGCAGACCTGGCCGCCAGGTCCCGTCCCCTCGCTGCTCGGCCCGCCCCCCCCAGGCGCCCTCACCTTGGTGAAGAGTCGCCACCACTGCCAGTGTCTCAGCTTGAGGTAGGCTGCACAGTTCCGCTGCATGACCCGCAGGGCACTTTGCTGCTGCTGACGCTTCTGGAAGGCCCTGCGGGGGGTGGGGGGGCGCGAGTGGGAGAGGGAAAGATGGGCCCCTCCAGGCCCTGTCCCCTTGGCAAGAGAGCGAACGAAGCTCCCTTCAATTAGTCAACCGTCATGAAATGCCTACTGTGCGCAGGCACCGTTCTATTATTGATAGATCGTGGGGTCCCCCTGCCCTCGACTCTCTCTGCCCTGTCTTCCTCTCTGTGCACACAGCCCCAGTTCAGGGCTCATCTTCTCCCACCTGGACCCTCACTCCAGCCTCCTCCTGGGCCTCCCAGTCTCCAGTCTATCCCTGACATGCCTCCAGAGGGGTCTGTCTACACCCAGAGTTCACCCGCCCCTCCCCTGCTCCCAGCCCTGCCGTAGCTCCCCAGTGCCCCTGGACAAGGCCTCTGTCCCTCAGCCTGGTGTTTGGGGAGCCCTTTGTCCTCTGATCCTTCCTCTGCACCAGTTCCAAGGGGGAGGGGGACTGCCCTGCAAATTTCCTGCGTTCCTGCAGTGTGCCAGGCTCGCACATCACCAGGCCTTTGCACAAGCTGTCGCTCCTGTCTCGAACCCCCCTCCTGTCCTCCTTCATCTTCCTGGTTGTCAAGTGTGATCCGGGGGGGCGTCCTGGTCTGCAGCAAGGCCTCTGCTGAACTTGTATGACCCCCATCAAAGCACACCCCCCCCCCGAACTGTGACGCTTCACGCCGGTGCACTGCCCCGTCCAGACTGGAGTCCCTCCAGGGATCGGCCAGGTGGGTAACCACGTCGACCCGGGTGGCCCGGGGCTTTCTCTGTGTTAGCATGGAAAATCATGCATCCTGGGAACCCTCCAGTCCTGGACAAACCGGAATGTGGGTCACCCGCTGGCTGGCTGAGTCCAGCTCTTCTCTGTGTCCCCGGCATCACTCAGCACAGGGCCTGGCCCACAGGGGCTCCAGGACTGTAGAACCAAGAAGCCTGGGCATCCAGTGGCTCCATCCCATTGTTTTTCAATCCTCTCACCATCTTGGAGGCCCTGACATCTGGAACCTTCTGATCAACCCCTCCTTCCTCCAGTCTCCCAGGCCATCTGGTCAACCCCTCCTTGCTCCGGCCTCTGGGCCATCTGGTCAACCCCTCCTTGCTCAGGCCTCTGGGGCCATCTGGTCAACCCCTCCTTGCTCAGGCCTCTGGGGCCATCTGGTCAACCCCTCCTTGCTCAGGCCTCTGGGGCCATCTGGTCAATCACTCCTTGCCCTGCCCTTTGGGGCCTTCTGGTCAACCCCTCCCTGGCCCGGCCTTGGCCAACAGGACCCCAGGAGACCGGGTGGTGGCCCACCTGCGAGCGAGGTATCCCCGGGCAGCTGCCTGGAAGGACACAATGATGTCTGTGACCTTCAGGTCCCGCTCCTCTTCCAGCTGGGCCAGGACCCCCGCCCGGAAGAAGATCTTGCTCTGTCCCACACGGTAGAGGTTGGGGTCCAGTTCCAGGGCCTGGATCTGTGAGGGGTAGGGGAGAGGCGATGAGGGGGGAGGTCCCAGCCCGCCCTCCACCCCCTGCACCGAGCACTGCTGGGCTCTGCCCCACACTCACCATCTTCTCACAGGCCTGCTTCCCATCCATAAAGCCCTTGGGGATGGCATTGGGCGTCAGGATCTCATATCTGCAGTGGGAAGGGAAGGGTGGGGGTGGAGAGTTACAGCAAACTGTTGCTGAGCTCCTGCCATGGCCGGGCACTGGGCTCAGAGTGACAAATAGCAATGACGATGGGAACGATAAGAACAGTAAGAAAAAACGAACATTAGAGCATTTCCTGAGTGCCACCCACAAGACCTAGAGGGGTTTTTTTTTTTTTTTTGGTGAAGAAGATTGGCCCTGAGCTAACATCTGTTGCCAATCCTCTTCTTTTTGCTTGAGGAAGATTATCACTGAGCTAACATCCGTGCCCATCTTCCTCTATTTTATGTGGGATGCTGCCACAGCATGGCTTGACAAGTGGTGCTAGGTCCATGCCTGAGATCTGAACCCGCAAACCCCAGGCTGCCAAAGCAGAGCACATGAACTTAACCACTATGCCACCGGGCTGGCCCAAAGACCAAGAGAATACCACCACCCAGGGCAACATCAACAATACAAGTTGCCACTCCGTGGACACCTACCACGTGCTGACTGTGAACGTTTTCTCACATCACCACCATCTCACTGAGCCGCCCAACAAAGGTGTGTCTCAGAAGGGAAACGTGAGCACAACACCAAATAGCAGCCGATGTTTCTGAATACTTGTTACGTGTCAGGACTAAGCTCTTTAGAGCACTTTCTTTCAAATTTCTGAGTGCAACTCAGAATAAAAAAATACATTTAATAAACACAGACGTGTCTGCCCTCAGAGTCTCTTCCCTGCTGTGCCCTCTCCCCGGGACCTTGACGTTTCATAAAAAATAATGCATATTATATATACAAGACATATAGACACATAATATATATGTCATATTTTATGCCTGGTGACTGAGAAAATGGTGTGTGTGTATCAGAGTTTCTCATCCCCAGGTATCTTCTTAAAAGGCAGATGCTCATCCAGTAAGTCTGGGGTGGGGCCTGGACGCTGCGTTTCTGACAAGCTGCTGGGTGCTGCTGGTCCGGGGCCCACACTTTGAGCGGCAAACTCCGGCCCTGTGCCGTGTAGTCCAGCAGCTGCCGGCCACAGGGAGCTACTGAGCCCTCGAAATGCGGCCTGGGCAATGGAGACACCAGACTTTCCATTGTGTTTCATTTTAACTAAGTGACATGGGAATCGAAAACCGCAAGCAGAGGCCGGCCCGGCGGCGCGGCGGTTAAGTTTGCACGTTCCGCTTCGGCGGCCAGGGGTTCACAGGTTCAGATCCCGGGTGTGGACATGGCACTGCTTGGCACACCATGCTGTGGGAAGCGTCCAACATATAAAGTAGAGGAAGATGGGCACCGATGTTAGCCCAGGGCCAGTCTTCCTCAGCAAAAAGAGGAGGATTGGCAGCAGTTAGCTCAGGGCTGATCTTCCTCAAAAAACAAATAAATAAATAATAAAAATAGGAATAAAAGAAAACCGGGAGCAGCGTCAAATATTTTTCTGTTCAACACAATTTCTTTGTTTTGGGAGGACCACATTTCACACTGACCGCCGGAAATTTAGGGTCCGAACTGAGATGCACCATCAGCGGGTAGACACAGGCCACATCTCGAAGACTCGGTAGGACAAAAAAGAACGCTCGATATCTCACTATTAATTTTTTGTATTGGTTCCATGTGAAAATGATCCTATCTCCTGCCTGTAGGGGGTTAAGTAAAATATCTCGGCAACGTTAACTTCGCCTGTTTTCTTTCTACATTAAAAAAGGCGGCTGCGAGATCGTTTGCAATCGTGCCCGGGGCTCCCGCGCTGTTTCTCACACGGCGCTGCTGTGTCCAGCTGTGAGTGGCGCGATCTGGGTTATGATATGAATTGGGTTATGATGTTCACCACACTAGTTGTTTCTTAAACTGTGATATTTTCTGTTCTAGCCTATTCTGCCTTGAAAGACATTATCATGCAAGATGCGGATTGCAACACGGGGCTCTATGCCTTTGTCCCACATCCCAGAGGAGGAAGCTGAGAATTTGCCAGAATTTGCCCGGAGTTCCCGGGATCAGAAGTAGCAGCGGGGGGATGGGGAGGGGGGTGGGGTGCGGTGGGGTGGGGGTGGGTGGTGGGTGGAATGGGGTGGGGGTGGGGGTGCGGTGCGGTGGGGTGGGGGTGGGGTGGGGTGGGGAGGGGGTGCGGTGCGGTGGGGTGGGGGTGGGGTGGCGATGGGGATGCAGGTCTGGTGGCCCCGCGCGCCCGCCCCCGCACACGCACCGCTGCCGGAACTCCTGGAAGAGGATGCGGTTGGGGAAGCCCTGGCGGCAGATGCGGATGCCCTCGAGGACGCCATTACAGCGCAGCTGGTCCAGCACCAGCTTCGGCTCCAGCTTCCCGGCCTGCGGAGAGCGGGGATGGGGACGCGGGGTCGGCGGCGGCGGCCACACGGGGGGGCGGGGGGGGGCACCCCGACGGCCGAGGCAGCGTCACCCGGTCCAACCTCTGCTTTAACTGCGCACCTACTATGTGCCAGGTGGAAATGCCTGACCCAGGGCCGGGGGGTGGGGAGCGGAGCTCACAGTCCAGTGGGGGAGACTGACAATAAATGAGGTCAAGAGATGGCTAATAAACGTCGGAAGTAAATAAATAAAAAGTGCTAAGGAGCAAAGAGCAGCCGGGAGCGAGGGCCGGGCGGGCTGAGGCGGCCCAGCCATCCTTATTTTTGGTAGCTGACTTCGGTTCTCTTTTCTTTTTTAATTGCCTTTTTTTTCGCCCCAAAAGTAATAGACAAGGGGTAAAAATCTCAACTGTACAAAATTCAAATGATACGTTCTGAAACAGAACTCTTGCCTTGCCCAGAATAGTCAACACAACCCCCAGTTTCTTACAGAACCTTCTAGGTCACTTGTTCTCCCACCCCTGGTTACACACTGGTGCCCCCTGGGAAGCTTAACAAAACAAAACCAATGCCCCAGCCCCGGCCCAGGGTAGAATCTGAATATCTGGAGAATGGAGATTAAAACGTGAGAACCAACAGTCTGGATGTTTCTATTTTTCTTTTTCTTTTTCTTTTTTTTTTTTGGTGAGGAAGATTGGCCCTGAGCTAACATCTGTTGCCAATCTTCCTCTTTTTTTTTCTTCCCGAAGCCCCAGTAGATGGCTGTATATCCTAGTTGTAGGTCCTTCTAGACCTTCTATGTGGGACGCAGCCACAGCCATGGCTTGACGAGTGGTGTGTAGGTCCGTGCCCAGGATCCGAACTGGCGAACCCTGGGCTGCCAAAGCGGAGCAGACGAACTTAACCACTATGCCACCAGGCCAGCCCCTGGACCTTCTCCTAGGGCTAACTAGGCATATGTATGTTATATTTATGCAGTCATCAAACACTTATTGAATATCCACAGTATAGCTGTGGCTGGGGCTTTTCTAGGCACTGGGGTCTCAGCAGTGAAAACCGAGATGAAGCCCCTGCCGGAAGGTTATGTCCCAGCAAAAGGGACTTCCTATTGCCACACGACTATGTACGGTCCCTGCTTGTTGGTAATAGGCTTCAGTATTGTGGGAGGAACCTCTCCCTCCCCTCGGCTCTCAGCCCATCAGTGGCCAGGACTGAGCTCATCCTGGCTCCCTGTGTGGTCATGTGACCCCAGCCCAGCCAATCACAGTGGCTGGTTCAGGGGCAGGCACAAGAGCCATCCTGGGCCAATGAGAGCCAGCCCTGGGACTTGTGTTAGAGTCACTGGGGCAAGAGGCTCCCTCTTTCCCTTAGGGTTGCTGAACTGGGAGAATGAAAGCCTGGAGCCACTGGTGGCCACCCTGCCACCCTGAGGAGAGAGAGAGAGAGAGAAAGAGAGCAAGCGATTCCTTCACAGTGAAGGAGACACACAGAAAAGCAGAGCCAAGTAAAGGAAAAAGAATCCTAACACCATGATTTGAGCACCTGGATCCAGCTATACCTGAACCCGATACTGGAATTTTTAATTATGTGAATTTATACATTCTAACTTTTGCTTACAGCATCTTAATGATTCTCTCACAATCAAAAGAGCCCCAAGGAAATAGCTGAAAACAGCTTGAAATTGGAAAGAATATATGGAACAGTCTCACAACATTTTATTTTCTTCCTTCTTTCTTTCCTTCCTCTATCCCACCCTCCGACAAAACATGTGGCAGGCTCGAGTGGGGAGGTGCCCAGCAAGGTCAGGAGACTGATTACATAAAAGGGGACTGAGAAAATAAGTCAATTTGTAGGTTATAGGACCTGGATTTCTCACTGTTGCAAAAAAGAGTTACAAATGTGCACAAGGGGAAAAGTTAACGCAAACTCTGTGAGGTTGGACCGGAACTTGACATCCTGGTGAGAACTTAAGTTTTCAATATACAAAGAAAGTTACAGAAACAAATATAGCAGTGAATGCGCATATACACGTGTATGCAAGCATGTCCGTTCGTGCGTATACGCAGCTCTGTTGACGGCGAGGCCCTGGGAGGGACATGCTAACGCCACCGAGCACATCGGTCACCGGATCTCAGGCTCTACGCCCCATTCTGCACAAAAGAACCAGGGCTCCTGGGGGAAACGGCCGCGTCTATGTGTGCCGTATTTCACCCAGTCTAAGCCCCCATCCACTGTAAAACCCGCTGTGAGTGTAGACACCCCCAGGAAAAAAAGCCTCCTGCCACACCCAATGTCACCGATGCTACCGTGGGAGAAATCAACGTCTCAGATTTGGTGAAATACGGTATCTGCAGATGTGGAAACGGAGATGCACACACACATCCACCCACCCAAGAACCACCGCTACTTTCTGAGGACAGTGTAAGCCGTGGGCACCTAATTTTGTGGTCTCATTTCCTACTCATGTTGACTCATCTCTACAGGGCCCATCCTCTGATTTTCCCAACAAGAAAAGCTTTCGGTGGCCCGGGAGGCCAGGCATGGTCTCCCCACACCTACATGACACTCTCGGCTCCAACAGTCTTCTTTCCATCCTTTGCACCTTCCATGCTCTGGCCTACCTACCACTGGGCCTTTGCACGAGCTGTTCTCTGTTTGGAAGACCACTTATTCTTCAGAGCTGAGTCATCACCTCCTCCAGGGAGCCTTCTCTGACTTCACTGACCAGATCTAACCTTATGCGACATGTATCAGCCCTACAAACTCAGCTGGACATTGGTGGTTAATTGAATGTCTGTGCTCCCCATTGGAGTGTGAGCTTCCTGAGAATAGGGGTTGGCTGTGCTTTTTCCTCTGGCACATAGTAGGTGCTCAATAAAATTTAAGTCCCGTGAACCAATGAGTTTTCCCAACAGAGCCCTGAGTCTGAGAGGGAAGCAACTTGCTCAAGGTCACGCAGCCAGTCAGAGGCGAGCCTGGGAACAGGCGTGGCCCCAGCCAAGTCCGCCGGCCAGGTCTCTCCCTGCTGCCCGAGCCGCCCCCATCCCGGGCCGGGTCACTCACCCTCTTCTCGTGGTTGGGGATGATACAGCGGACGAAGCTGGGGTTGGTGTTGCTGAGTGTGGCCATGAGGCGGCTCAGGGACTCCTTGTAGAGCTGGCCCACCGTCCGGAACATGCCCCGGCGGGGGCGGCCACCCGGCGGCCCGTCCCCGAGGCTGCTCACCTGCTCCAGCCCCACGATGCCCTCCACTGTGAGGAGGAAACAGAGGTGGAGAGAGAAGTGGGTCAGGGGTCAGTTTGAGGGGACTGGGCCGGCCAAAGGTCAAGGGTCTTGTTATCGATAGGACCAGGCTCTTTACATAGGAAACACCTCGCACAACCGGGTGAGGGAGGTGCCACCAGCCCCACCGGACTGACGCGCAGACTCAGGTTCAGAGAGGTGGAAGGCTGTGCCACAGGCCACACAGCTTAGAAACCGCAGATCCAGGATCTGAACCCAGTGGGGTGAGTCCTCTTGAACCCTAACCTCTGACCCCTCTTCCGCTCAAGGACACGATTTCCGTTTTCCTCATCAACAAACGGTGATGACAATGGACGCTTACGTAGCACTTACTTCCTTCTAGCCTCCGCTCAGAGCAGCTCACGTACGAGCCCATAGGAATCGGTCCCATCTTACAGATGAGGAAACCGAGGCACAGAGAGGGACAGGATGGTACAAACACAGCACAGCTGCATTCTTAGGAACCCGAAACCACATCCCATTAAAAGTGGAATCAAGTCTGGCTTTTAGGGGCCATCTTCGAAGGAAGGCAAACGACCTCCACAGCAACCCTTGCCCCAGAGGCCCGACTGAGCGTACGTCTGCTTTCTCTCCTGTCATTCGATGGCCTCACTTAGCTCCTTCGTCTCAGATTCTCTTACTGGATCACGCCAGGGACCCGCAGCTGGGGCAGAATCTGAGGCCCCACAATCCCCAGTCAGGAGGGTCTTCAGGGGTCCAGCAGACAATCTGCACTTCGGGCAGGACTGGGTGCACGATCGGGGCTCAGCTGTGACATTTTCCTTTTTCCTCCCCAGGTTCAACTCTCCCTCCTACCACCCTACTCCCAGTTATTATCAAAATAAGAATCATCACTCATTAAGTTCTTACAGCACAGGTAAGAACTGAGGCTCTGGGAGTTAAAAGTCCTGGGTTCAAATCCTGGCTTTGCCACTTCCTGGCTGTGTGACCTTGGGCTGGTGACTTAACCTCTCTGTGCATCAATGTCCTCATTTGTATAATGGGGGTAATAACAGTACTAACATCTGCCTCGTTGGGTTATTTGGAGGATCCTATGTGTTAACAGTCATAAAAGGGGTTCACACCGTGCCCGGCACACAGTAAGGGCTCCATAAATGCACACGGAGATGACATGCGGTTTAGTTAGAAGAAAGCATTGTGCTGCCACAAAGGGTCTGGAAACCGCTGAGGGAGCCGACGAGGAGGGAGAAGAGGAGGGAGAGACCTCCTTATGAGAGGAGAGGGGACCGACATTCAAAACCAGGTGCCCAGTGCAACAGGCCCGCCCTCCCGGTCTGGCAAATCTCACCCGTTGACGCACAGCAGCACCCACCCCCTGCAGGAGAAATGGCAGAGCCGCGCCTCCCTGAAGATCCTGGGGGCGACGGGGGGAAGGAGCCAAGGAGAGAGAACTGCTGGAAGCCCCCGTGTTCTGGGGGTGAGGACAGATGCGGGGTGGCAGAGAGGTGGGGGGGATGCAAAGGGAGCAGCGTGAGAAGAGAGGAGGGAGAGCAGGTGGCAGGAAGACAAAAAGAGGAGAGAGTTGTTAGTTAACAGCACAGGGCAAAGCAGGAGAGAAGACCTGAACGTTGGCCGTGAACTTTTAAAACCAGGGAGAGGGTCCTGTCCATCTTTTTTTTTTTTTTTTTTTTTGGTGAGGAAGATTGGCACTGAGCTAACATCTGTGCCAATCTTCCTCTATTTCGTATGTGGGACGCTGCCACAGCATGACTTGATGAGTGCTGTGTAGGTCCGCACCCAGGATCTGAACCCACAAACCCCAGGCCACCAAAGCAGAGCATGCAAACTTAACCACTACCCCACTGGGCCGGCCCCTGTCCTGTCCACCTTGGAGTCTACCCAGTGAGGGCATCACTGTTGACTGAAAGGATGAATATCCTCTGTGAGAATTTAGTGCCAGGGAAAAAAAATCTCTCTCCCTAGAAGTTGAGTCTGTATCTGTTTTATTAGGTATCCCTTTTTGCCCTGGCTGCCAGGAAGCTCGATGCTCCCACCTAGCTTGTTGTATTTGCTTCTCTGAGGAGAGCTTGTCTCATTTGCCTTTTCTCCGGGGCTGCCAGGATGCTGGGCACCCAACTCTGGGCTCAGGGCGACTGTAGGAGAGACTGATGCAAAAATGGTCCCAATTCTCCACCCTTCCCTGTGACCCGTAGCAACTTGAGTCTGGGCCGGCCTCGTGACTTGCTTTGTTCAGGAGAATTGTGGAAGAAGTAACGCTGTGCCAGGTTCCAGTCTAGGACTCAAGACGCTTTGCAGCTTCTAGTTCTTTCCTGCAACCCTTCGCGAGCCAGGCCCACAGGAGGTGGGTCGTCGTGGTCCACGAATGGGGCACAGATTTTACAGAAGTGGAGGGGGCGGATTTTCAGTCCACAGGAGATAGTCCTGACAGCAGAATCTGGTTCTGTTGCTGAACACCCCACACTGCTCTCAATCCCTCTTGTGTAAACTGAGACACAAACACTAAATGTCTCTTTCTACACCCAGCTCACGATGTCGGGGCACCCCACGCCCTTTTGCTGGATGAGTTCACGTTGGGATCCACTCATCTTGCTTATTTTGTCCTCGTGTCTAATTGCACGGGGCAAGCACGTCTGGAACCATGCTCTGCACTTCAATAAAAGATTAAGGCAAACTGACAGATTCCGGAAACCTGGAATCGGAAAAAAAACAAGACACTCATCTGCTAGCTGCATAAAAAAAACCATCTCTCAAACCTCCTGTGAGGTCGGGGGGTGGCAGACACGGCTGGGAAAAGTGCCGGATCCCGCCACACACAGGCGTTTGGTTTCCCTGCCCCTGCCTCCTGGAAGGGTCACTCGGAAAAGACTTGACGGCCAGATTCACACGGGCCTTTTTGCAGCAGAAAAAAAAAAAAATCTCCAAAACTATATCTTGATCTGTTGCTCCTTTCTTCTTCCCTGGGGCCCAGAGGGGAACTTAGTGAGACGGCAGAGAAAGCAGAGCCTGAAGCTGACTGACTTGTAAACCGCCACCAGTCTGAGTTCTCATGTTGTTATTCATTCTTTTCGAGTCAAAGGTCTTGATTGTGTTAGGGATCATATGCCCTCTACAAAGAATAAGTTCATCTATTCCTTTACAACATTCATTTACTTATTTCTTTTTCTACTCTGATTGCATAGGCTAGTATTGCAAAAACGGTTTTTAACAGCAGTGCTGGCAGTGGGCATCCTTGTCTTGTTTCTGATGAAGGGAGAATGTTTTGGGTTTTTATTCTGAGGAAGATGAGCCCTGAGCTAACTGCTGCCAGTCCTTCTCTTTTTGCTGAGGAAGACTGGCTCTGAGCTAACATCTGTGCCCATCTTCCTCTACTTTATACGTGGGATGCTACCACAGCATGGCTTGACAAGTGGTGCCATGTCTGCACCCGGGATCCGAACTGGCGAACCCCAGGCCGCCAAAGCGGAACGTGCACACTTAACCGCTGTGCCACCAGGACAGCCCCCAAAGGGGGAAATGTTTTATCACTGAGTGTGATGCTGGCCTGAGGCACCAACCGATCAATCAATCAGGAAGTGGAAACACTATGATGGAGTGTCGGGCCTGCCTGCATTAATTCTGCATCTGAGCAGAAAACTCAGTTCAGAACTCGGCCTCTGAAACAAAGGTGCTCACACTGTGGGCTGGGAGAGGGGATGCGCAGAGCTCAAGGACGGGGCCAGGGGACGCTGGTCCTCACCGTCTTTCCAGATCTCCGCGGTTAGCCGGTCTGTGCTCTGGTGCAGCAGGGTTGCGACGCTGTCATTCAGGGGGTCCATGTTTTTCATCAGCCACTCATTGGCCTTGTAGTCGACCTGGATGAAGTCAGGCATTGGGGGGTGATGAACTTGCAGACCCCCCAAGGAGCCTCCCAGAAGCTCGGAGACGCCCCGCTCTGGGGCTCAGCACCGACGAGAGAGCGCTGGTGCCACCTTGTGTCCATATCCGGAACTGCACCCTCCACCACCAGGGCGCCCTCCCTTTGCTGCCGGGCCCACCTCTTTCCACGACCTCATCCGCCACCGCTTCCTTCCTGAGCCTTTCTACTCCAGTCACGTGGCCTGTTTGCTGTTCCTCAAACACACAAGGTCATTTCCACCTCAGAGTTTCCACCCCGACCATTCCCGCCACCTGGACCTCCCTCTCGTGGATTTTCACACGGCTGGTTCCTTCCAAGCACTCAGGCCTTTGCTCTGAGGCTCCCCCAGAGTCACCACCTTGACCACCATGATTCTCCACACGTGTTCCCCCCGACAGTCAGGGGCTCCCCGAGGCCAGAGCCCACGTCTGACTCCTAGCCCAGCACAGGGCTGGGGACACGAGAGTCTAGACAATCTCGGGGAAACGAACCGAGTGCTAAACACAGAATGCACGGGTCTCCTGCCTCCCAACCTTTGCGTATGCTGTTCCCTCCACCTGGACAGCCATTCCCACCAGGCACCTGTCCTTTGCTGGCTGCCTGCTGCTCGTCTTGTAGACCAGGCGTTGGCAAACCCCAGCCCACAAGGCAAACCCAGCCCTCTTCTTGTAAATAAAGTTTTATTGGCATACAGCCTTCGTTTATGGGTCACCTGTGGCTTCTTTCACGCTACGAGGGTAGAATTTGTGGCAGACACTGTCTGGCCCACCGAGCTGTAACTATTTACTGTCTGGCCCCTTACAGAAAATGTTTGCTGACCCTTGGTTTCAGATCAAGCTTTGCTCTCCGCTGTGAACCTTCCCTGGCATTCCTCCTCTGGACTTCGACGCCACCCTGAGCTGCCCTGTTAAAGCCCCTATCAGCCTTACATCCTAATGGTCTATTTGTCTCCCTCTCAGATAAGGAACTTTGTGAGGACAGAAACCATGTCTGACTTGGGTCCCCAGCTTTGCTCAGCATAGCAAAGGCACGTGTTTGCCAAGTGAGTGAGTGAAATGCACCTAACTCTTCCCCTGGTGAACTCCTATCCATCCCTCAAAACCTACTGCAAATATCCCCTCCTTGAGGAAGCCTTTACTGACTTCATCAGAGTCTGCACTCTTCCTCGGGCTTTCCTAGCCTCTGCCCTGGCTGTGTCTCATCCCTGTGGACATCAGGTGGCCCCTGCTTTCCCTCTGTACCCTCCCCACACCTACAGCCAAGTGGCCCCCACTCCCACCCACATGCCTCAAGGCTGGCACCAGCTGCCTACCTTGCCCGCATAGTGCAGGACGCTGAAGTCGGCCTGGTCCCGCAGGTTCCTCGGCCGCTGGAACTTGGGGTGGCCACCCTGTTCCTGCGCCACCTTCTCCACAAAGGACTTGTCCGTGGCCTTTGGGAACCAGCACTCCTCGTCTAGCAGGGCCAGGAGTCCAGGGGGGTTGGCCTGACCGTGAACAGGAGGGGAGAGTCAGTCAGATCCCCAAATATTGGACACCTAGGTTGCGGCCACTTTTTAGCTCTTGTAAGTGACACCTGGAGACGCAACCAAAGGTGAGAATTACAGTTTCAGATGTAATTAGTAATTTGATTTGTCGTTTTCCCCATTTAACTGAGGTGTGGCCCGCGGCCAGTGGGGTGAGGAGCTTGATCAGGGTCCCGGGGCCCGTGGCAGGCGGGGCGGGGGGAGCAGCGGGCTCACCGGCCGCTCGATGAGGTCGATGCAGGGCTGCAGGTCGAGGCCGAAGTCGACGAAGGTCCAGGGGATGCCCTCGCGCTGGTACTCCTCCTGCTCCAGCACGAACATGGTGTGGTTGAAGAGCTGCTGCAGCTTCTCGTTGGTGTAGTTGATGCACAGCTGCTCGAACGAGTTCAGCTGCGGGGAGCGGGCACGTGAGAGAGGACGGGGCCAGGGAGGGGACGGGGCCAGGGAGGGGACGGGGCCAGGGAGGGGACGGGGCCAGGGAGGGGACGGGGGCCAGGGAGGGGACGGGGCCAGGGAGGGACGGGGCCAGGGGGGGGACGGGGCCAGGGAGGGGACGGGGGCCAGGGAGGGGGACGGGGACCAGGGAGGGGACGGGGCCAGGGAGGGGGACGGGGCCAGGGAGGGGGACGGGGGCCAGGGAGGGGACGGGGACCAGGGAGGGGACGGGGCCAGGGAGGGGACGGGCCAGGGAGGGGACGGGGCCAGGGAGGGGACGGGGACCAGGGAGGGACGGGGGCCAGGGAGGGGGACGGGGACCAGGGAGGGGACGGGGAGGGAGGGGGACGGGGACCAGGGAGGGGGACGGGGGCCAGGGAGGGGAGGGGGGGGGGGGGGGGGGGGGACGGGGCAGGGAGGGACGGGGCCAGGGAGGGGGAGGGCAGGGAGGGGACGGGGGCGGGCAGGGGGGGGGACGGGGCGCAGGGAGGGGACGGGGCCAGGGAGGGGACGGGGCCAGGGAGGGGGACGGGGACCCAGAGAGAGAGGGACAGGGACCCAGAGAGAGGGGACAGGGACCCAGAGAGAGGGGGACAGAGACCAGAGAGAGGGGAGACGGGGACCCAGAGAGAGGGGGACGGGGACCAGAGAGAGGGGGACGGGACCAGAGAGAGGGGAACAGGGACCCAGGGAGAGGGGGACAGGGACCCAGGGAGGGGGACAGGGACCCAGAGAGAGGGGGACGGGACCCAGAGAGAGGGGGACGGGGACCCAGAGAGAGGGGGACGGGGACCCAGGGAGGGGGACAGGGACCCAGAGAGAGGGGGACAGGGACCCAGAGAGAGGGGGACAGGGACCCAGAGAGAGGGGGACGGGGACCCAGGGAGAGGGGGACGGGGACCCAGAGAGAGGGGCACAGGGACCCAGAGAGAGGGGGACAGGGACCCAGAGAGAGGGGGACGGGGACCCAGAGAGAGGGGGACGGGGACCCAGAGAGAGGGGCACAGGGACCCAGAGAGAGGGGCACAGGGACCCAGGGATGGCGCCCGCCCGCCGCGCGGACCTGGAAGATCTCGAAGCCGGCGATGTCCAGGATGCCCAGGAAGGAGGCGCCCTGGCGGGGGCTGCGGTCCAGGGCGCGGTTGAGGCGCAGGACCAGCCAGCGGAAGAGGCGCTCGTAGGTGGCCTTGGCCAGGGCCTCCAGCGCGAAGTCCGCCTGCGGGCAGGGCGCACAGTGAGGGCCCGGTCTGCACATCAGCGGCCGAAGCCCGTCCCAGGGGTCCGGCAAGGAGACCGCGGGTGTGGACGGGTCCTCCTCACGGTTCATCAAGAATGATGACGTTAACAGCAGTCACTGAAGCCCTACTGTGTGCCTGGCACTGTGTGAAGGGCTCACTCGGGGCACATTGGTTCATTAATCCTTCCTCCTCCCAGAACCGATTTCAACAGCATAACCGTGAAGAGGGTGGATTCTGGAGCCCAACAACCTGGGTTTGAATCCCGGCTCTGCTGGAGGCTGTGTGACCTCAGGCATATAAACAAACCTCTCTGTGCCTCAGTTTCTTCATCTGTAAAACGGATCCTAACAACAGTACCTCAGCTGAGAGTGGAACCCGGGTCAGCAAGACCCTGCCCCCAATCTCTGGTCTTCATTTCCCCCACCCTCTCTTCTTCATCCTGGCACCCTGAGTTTCCAGCCTGGGGCCAGGCAGAACCCTCTGCCCAAACGCTGGATTCTGAAAACCTCTGGGCTGTGTTCACTTCTCAGCCTGTCCCACCACCACCAGCCTGGTCCGAGCCGCCATCATGGCTTGCCTGGACTATGACAGCAGCCTCCTCACATCCCCCTGCTTCCACCCGTGCCCCCTTGGACTCAATTCTCCATGAAGCAGACAAGAGCATCTTTATAAGAGACAAACTGAATCAAGTCGCTCCCTGGCTTAAACCCTCCCCAGCCTCCTGCTGCACTCTGAATAAAATTCACCTCCTTACTCTGGCCACTAAGACCCTGAGTGATCTGTCCCCTTCCAACCTCTCTGATTGCAGCTTTTACCACCCTCTCCCCAGCTGGCTAGCCTCACTGACCTCCTTAATATTCCCAACTCACCAAGCTTGTTCCAGCCCCAGGGCCTTTGCACATGCTGTTCCCTCTGCCTTGAACTATCTAGGTCTTGACTTAAACGTCACCTCCTTAGAGAGGACTTTTCTGAGCACTCTAACCTCCTCCTTCATAGATGGCATCGCTGTTTATCTATCTTCTTTTGTTATCTGCTGCCCTTCACAGCCTGGGCTCGCTGTGAGTGTGGTCTCGGTTTGCATTATGCCTTTTGCTCCTGGCCCCTGGACCAGGGCTGGGGACTGAGAAGGCACTCAGCGAAAGTTGCTCGAGTGAATGACAAAAAAACAGCATCGGTTGGTTAAGGACCCAGGCCCCTGGCGCCGGGCTCTCTCCGCCCCCAGCCTCGCCCCTGACAGCCCAGCCACGCCCCTGCCTGCCCTAGCCACGCCCCCGCCTGGTCTGGCCCCGCCCCTGGCCCATCACGCCTGCCCCGGCCACGCCCCAGCCCCGCCCCTGCCCGCCCCTGGCCCCGCCCACCTGCTCCTTGGTCTGTGCTTTCTGCACGTAGTCGCGGCCGACCTTGATGCGAGGGGTGAGCAGGGCGCGGGAGAAATCCGTCACCCCCAGTCCCAGGAGGCGGCAGAGCTTCTGCGCAGCTGCGGGCGACAGGCACCAAAATGCGGTCAGCAGTGGGGAGCGGCGGTGGCTGCGGAGTGGAGAGGAGGGTGCCGCCCCCCAACTGGTGATGGAACAGAAGCCAGCCCAGCCTTTCCCACTAGAGGCGTCACAGGTCCTAAAAGTGTGTATAGGGGCCGGCCGGTGGCACAGTGGTTAAGTTCGTGTGCTCCGTTTTGGCGGCCCGAGGTTTGCCAGTTTGGATCCCGGGTTTGGACCTACATACTGCTCATCAAGCCATGCTGTGGTGGCGTCCCACAAATAAAAAAACAGAGGAAGATGGGCACAGATGTTAGCTCAGGGCCAATCTTCCTCAAAAAAAAAAACAAAAAAAAAAAGAGGAGGATTGGCAGCAGATGTTAGCTCAGAACCAATCTTCCTCAAAAAAAAACAAAAAAAAAAACTGTGTACATTCTCTGGCCCAGCAATTCTCCTACTGGGACCCCAAGTTGGCAAAAATAATCCCGAATGTGAGCAAAGACTGGATGATGAGGATGCTCATCACAGCCTTGTTTGTGATGGAAGAAAACAGGAAGCAACCTGAGTGTCCAGCAGTGGTTAGAGTCAAGGTTCACCCGTTTGAATGAGTTCCATCGTCACCAAAAATTACTAAAACTCATCACATGATACACTCAGATGCATGCACTTCACGATTGGTACCTTTCACTTCAAATCAAAGACAGAACTATAAACAAACACTGGACGCCAGTAAATGACACCCAGGCTGAAGTGTGTACGTGAGAACCACACCGACATCTGCGACCTCGAAATGCACCAGAAAATGCGACGGATGGACGACGGATGGAAAGATAAGCGAAAAAGCAAGTGCAGTAAAATGTGTGTTTCAAAATTTCTTAACAAAGTGTTGGTGAAAAAGTTACTGGAGTAAAAGTTCTTTGAGGTGGAAAACCCACAAAAAATATTTAAAACTTCATTGCTCTTCCCTATTTTTGTAGGAAAAAAAAAATCGCATGGAAAAATACCCGGATGCCAAAATGTTCACATGGACGTTTTTGCAGAAGATGGAGGGGGGGCTGTGGGGGCAGGAGTGTTCCTTTTTTCTGCTCTGAATTAAAATGATAATTAAGAAACGTTTTCAAGCTTCTATCAGTTCCACGATGGGAAAACAGTTACTACAGATACTCCGCTCCAGCAGAAAAAAAGCAAAAGAAAAAAACCCTAGAAGGAACACACTAAAATGGCAACAGTGATTATTTCTGAGAGGTGAGGTTATGTATGATTTCAATTTCTACTTTTCATTTTTTTTTTTTTTGGTGCAATTACAGTTTCGAATTCTTCCATGGCGACCTTGCGTTATACGGAAAGTATTTAAGAACTAAAAGAAGTGACTTGAAAAAACAACATATAAGGTGCAATGGAGTACTACGCAGCCAGTAACAGGGCGACTTATAAAGATCTCGGCCTTTGGCATGTACTTTGCCAGCTCGTGAAGGCTGTGGCCTGCTTCTCCGATGAACGTTTGCAAATTTGGAAAACAAAATACACAGGGTTTCAAAGGAGATGAATTACACTGACACACGGGTCAACCCAGCGGAGTTCTAGTTAATAACCTTGCAAAGTTGGCTCCGATGCATTAAGGGTAAAAAGCAGATTTCAAAACAGTTTATAAGGTCGGACCCCGATTTGGCAAATCAAACAAATAAGTGAGCGTGCACAGCACACCTGCTGGGTGTGAAGACAGCCCCGGACTGAGGGGAATGGGGCAT